TGATGATAATGATGCAATAAAGTATCCCGAAAGGGCTAGCGCTGTTGTACGATCCAAAGTGAGCGAAGGAGTGAGGAGTGTAAAAAGCACGCTAACCAACTTAGTCTCGAGAGTCAGTTTCTGTCATGTTTTACCGGCCTGCCCGACGGAGTTATGACAACGGCCGATCCTTGACTCAGGATTACCAATAATACCCAGGTAAAAATACCATAATTACCAGTACAGCCCGTTGACCAGCCCAGAACTGGAAGGGAATGATTGATGGACCTGTTTTTCGTCTGGGGGTCTCCGACCCACCCCCGGCCGAGCCAGGGAAAGAACCCACCATTTTGGAACCATTTTGGAATAGGTTGTACCAAGCCACAATTCCTGCAGCTAAAAGATGGATGCGTTGTCCTCGTCCGAGTACTGACAGGTCATTCAGCACTGGCATTTTATCATCTATCCCCTTGCAGTGCCTGAGCCACACTCCGGTTCAGAGCAGTTATGCCTGAAAGGCCCAATTAGTCGGACAAGCCCGAGATAGGTGCCAATCAAACAGGATGTTCTTGACTACGCTTCTTGGTTCTTCTTTCTCATCGGAATACAGATTATTCAACAATGAAAATTCATTATTCATGACTCTCATGCCGACTCACCGAGCACCAAAATCATTACGATGGTCAATGACTCAGATGGTCGCCGGACTACGGAGTATGCCTGCACTCTATGACTGTATGTACAACATTTTGGTAAGGCACTACTCTGTAATTATAAAACAACATCTAAGCTATTAGTAAAACCATACGTCCATCAGGCCTAGGTAGCTACCGTCCATAGTTTCCACTGTCGAATGAGACTGAAGATCCTCCCATTGTTGAGCCTTAAGGCTACCAATTACAAGCCGTCGTGGCTGAGCCATGCATTCCTGTCCACGCAGTTGTTGAAGATCCCGATCTCGTGTGGTTTCAATCTGACAATGCACAAACGGTAGGGTCGTGTAAAGCGACTAATCAGGACCATCTGGCTGACAGTATTCCTAGCAGGGGACAAGGGGAAAGCCTTCAAGCAAGGCATGTTTGATTTGTCCACAGCTCCGCGGCCTGATGAGCCAACTATGCATAAGCCACATTTGCGCCACAGACATGTGGCTAGTGCCCAACGGTATGAACGTACATTATTCATGATTATTAATGTGGATGCCGTAGGAAGAATTGCGTTTAGAGTACGGACTTCACCGGGGCTACGACAGACACTCGACCGAGAGAATCATCTGGCATGTACTACTGCATTCCATGTTCGCTTACAGCCATTGTTACCACATGATCAGGAACAATAAACTGATATCCCTGTCTGCTGGACTGTGCAAGTGTGCAGAAGCGAGCGATCGAGAAGCGGAGAAGACTCGGAGATACTCAGCAGACCCGCGATCCCGGTCTCGGCATCCCCTACGGAGTACTGGACGGTCAACCTGATTTTCGCGGCAGACTTTCCGAGGAATCTAGATAGTCTCGGCCAAGCTCGCAACCACATTAGCATTTCCAAATGAATTTGTTAACTATTTGGAAAAGATGACTTTTCAAGCTATTACTCTGTGGCTTGTGAGGCTCGAGTACTGGAATAAGCCAGCTGATTCTTCTCTCCCATGGTACGAAGGACTACAGAGTAGTCACGTTGTGCGGGTGGTCATCTGACCTGAATCCTGGTCCTGTTCAATATCACCACAGGGCATCGAGGACGAAGTAGGAGTCATACCATGAACAAGGGAGTCTAATCATAGATTCATTGATGATTTATCGCTATTAACTGATTTGCAAAGCCGAACAATCCCCTTGGTATCACATGCAAATCCTCAATCGATTTTGTTGAGCAGATATCCGACAGCTGTTGCCGAACACTGTCAGATCATGGATGCGAGTAAGTAGTCTAGCCATTGTCAAACACAAAGACCACCTGTCTAGTGTGCAATTGTAGCCAACCATAATCCTCCAGTGACAGACACCCAGCCGAGACTGATGGCTCCCCACCCGTCGCTTGAACGACAGCTGAAGCCAGTGGCAACATCAACGGAAACACATAATATCAAAATCTGGCTGCCTTTGAGGCTGTCAGGTGTGTCTCACTCTACTGTCGACATGCATGTCCATGGCCAACGGTATCTGCGCACGCGGTCCATCTTCCCCTTCAGCCGGGGACTGGCCGCGCACGACTGGCACGAGTGCTGTCGTCGACTCGTCAGATAACAGTGGACACTCTTGCCCCCATGCCCCTGTAGGCTGTTCGGAATCGCACCCTAAAGGTCCAGGTTGAATCTAGCTCCAACCCGGTGTCTTGGATCGTGTGGGCTCGTTATGTTACACTTGCAGTCTTGCACCTGCACCTGGGTCGTTGACTCGTTCGGCCTTCAGCCAGACTGGGCCCGGCGGGTCTTGTTCTCACAGACAGAGTGGGTATCTGCCTTCATCCATGTGTCTAGGCTTCCCCAATTATGGACATGTCATTGGTGATTGGCAAGTCGAGAGTCTCAGCTGGATATTTCTTATTTCTGACTCATTTGCAATGAAATCCGGGGTAGGCATGTGATTGTCCTTGACTCGGTTCAATATATCTCCCCTGACAGTCTAGAGGTAGGTAGATCTAGATGGTCTGACCCATACATCCAACTATAGTACTTTCCCTCAGTTAACCAGTGTGATATTACCGAGCAAATACTTGTTATCCATCCATGTACTCGAGCTGAAGGGAGAAAATTTTTTCACTGGTGGTGCCAACTGACAAGGATTAGATCGATTTACCCGACAGTCAGCACCTTAAACCACATGGAATTTTACCCTCGAACCTCAGACAGCTCAGCAATGTGCATATGCACCGAAGAAAAATTTTCCCCTCCTTATTGCTGCAGATGGGCTGAACTGCAGACATGATTCGCTGACACGCGGCTGTCCGAGCACAGCCACATCCGTTGGTGGTGAGGGATCTTCGATTAGAACCAAAAGCAAAAAAAAGCATGGGTGGGTCTGTTGGGATCTGCTGTTGCTGCTGGTAAGAAACAACGGTAATACGGATATGGTAACAAAACCGAATGAAACCCGTGTATTGCTCATGACAATACAGCATTACACACCCTTTTTTAGTCTCAAAATTCCTTTTGGGCCCGGAAAATCCCAGCCGGAGGATTCGACTCGCTCAGAGAATTTTTTCCATGGGCCTTCTAGAAGCCCCGTCTAAATTTGGGCATGCATGAGTTAGCGTCAATGCGTCCATTTCTGTTGGATGGTTACATTGATTTCACTCACTCTGTCCCTGAAAACTTTGTCTTGCAGATGCACTTGCGACTTGCACGAGTCGGAGTGAGACTAGAGACACTAAGGTGAAAAAATTTTCTGGCATGGCTGCTCGTTTAGATGGACGTTAGTGATATGGTGGTTGCGCTTCTGTACAACCATGCATTGGCCTGGATGACTGATCATTATCCCTCGGTGAAATCGGTCGGTGAAAATTCGTCCTGGAGATCATTATCATTATCATTATCATCAAAATAAAGCATATTATTAATAATGGTTGTCTGATATGATTTCGTACAAGTATTCAAGGAAAATCAATGCTCATGCCTTGTCATTGATAGCCGAATGTCTCCTTGACTCCATATCAATAGCATTCTGATACTATCTGATACTACAATACTACGGAGTACAGGCACCCTATTTATCAAGATAACGATTACCAAACTACTGACTCAGGCTGAGTTGGGGCCATCGGCCCGGTAGATCCTTCTGCTTGTCGGTAACGCGGCACCATGGTTCGCGCTCCGAAGAATCACCCAGCATCTTCATTTCATTGTAACTTGCTTCTTGCTTGCTAATCTGATCTGCCCTCAATCTGAAGATGAACACAAATATGAATATGGATACGAGATGTCGCAAATTTCCGGACTGGACTCTTAGACGTCTCCAACTTTGCAAATTAAAAGGGGAAATTCGGACTTGGTGTCTCCCTGCTAGTCGGTGCTACTTCGGCCTGGAGCACCGAGATCCGAGCGCAGCGCAGGGCCTCGAATCATGATATCCTGATCAGATCATGATATCGATACGGAGCACCTACTGGAGATAGGACAGAGCACGTGAACATAACCATCGCCCTACATAGTACGGAGTACTTACTTCGTCTTACCAACATCAACTGAAAAAGCAATGATCGCGTGACATGGCTGGTCACATGCTCTCTCACACTCCCCCATTCTAAATATCTATCACCATCGACTCTTCCAGATCACACCATTCTCCTCTAGACAAGATCAAATGACTTACTACGGAGTATGAGTAAAACAAAACAATCACTACTCATACCTCTGCGTCTCAACCTGAATTATGAAAAAAGGTCTGGACTGTCATCCATGCACTGCCATAGCCCAGTCCTGGGCCGATCGGGTCGAGACCCGGTTAGAGTCGAGAGTCGAGATCTGATCAGCGTTACTCCATAGTTAAGAAATAAACACTAAGCATGTGCATTATGAACCTAGGGTTTTTTATTAGAAAATTTTCACGCATTAGAAGACTAGGACTGGAGTCTGTGTTGATTCGCTGTAGATTTGAGACACCAGTATGTGTATTCGGATTGATGGTTTGCAGATGTCGATGGTGGGGTGGGACTGGGACTGGGACTGGAACATTTGCGTGTCGGTGGACTCGGTTCTAATATTAGAGTGTTTTCAGATTAGGGCCTCCGTCGATAGGCTAATGGTAATGGCTATCGATAAGTTAGTCTTGACATAAGTTGAGGATGGCCCGATTGTGTGACGAAGTATGAGCATCTACACTACGGCGTTTGGTCTAGGTGTACGCAAGCTGAAAATCGTCAAGAGTATAATTGCCCTGAAATCAAGAAAGAAATCGAAATATCAATTGAATCGATGATATAGATCCCGAGAGGAACGCTTCGGCTGCGTCTTATAATCACAAGAAACCTTTTTTCCTAGATAATATCCCTAACATTCAAGAACAGGAAGGGCTTGTCATTTCCGATCAACCCAGGACAATAGCCTACAGCATGTTAGCATAGCCGAGACGAAGCATTGAGAGTGTGACATACCCGTGCACGTTCGTAGACAGGGCGAATACCCGTCCAATGTTGGAACTGTACTCCATCAGTCATGGTCCTCTGAACAAGTCGATCAACATACCTGGTGCACTCCTTGCCCAACCAGAGCTTCCAACCCAGGAATAGTAGTCCACCCAGCATCGACAGCCAGCTGCATCAGCGCCGTCACACGCGGCTTGTAAGCCATCTCCAGCAGCACGCGGGGGGAGCCCTCGATCGTCCGGACGGTGTCGGCGTCTGCCTCCTGGGCACGTTCAAACATGTGGCAGAGGATCTCCCGCATACCGGGATCAATAGGCCGGTCGGCGGGGATCGTGCCGATCGCAACATGGGGAACCTGCTCCAGTTTCTCGTTGCCCTCGACGATTCGAATGTTGTAACCGCTTGGGAAGGTCGAGACCATGCTCTCCAGCTTGGCAGGGGTCCGTCCTACAATGTAGATCGGGGAGAAGCCCATATGGTGCAGAGCGTAGATGGCAGCGCGGCATGTGCCTCCGCCACCCACGACAAGAGCACTAGCATTGTCGTCGGGTCCGTAGACGCCTGCGTTACGAAGGCACTGAACCATGCCCTGCCAGTCTGTGTTGTGACCGACCAGCCGCGGCGGCTTGCCCTCACCATCGGAAACTGGCACGATGGTGTTCACGGCACCGATGATCTCGGCCTCCGCCGCAATCTCATCAAGGAGGGGCATGATGTCCAGCTTCAGAGGAATTGTCACAGAGGCTCCTCCAAAGTCAGGAGCGCGGATGAGATCCTTGACATCTTCGACATTGGCAGTCTCCAACCGGGTGTACTCATGGGGTAGACCCATCTCGGCGAAAAGCGTGTTGTGCAGGGCCGGCGAGCGAGACTCGGAAATGGGTGTGCCAAAGAGGGCAAAGCGCTTCTTCTTGATCTCGCCCATCAGGGACAGACCCTTGCGGATCTCCGTCGCAGACAGCTGGCCCGGAGCAGCCTTGAACGGGAGAGCGGGATGCGATACGGGTGTCATGAATCCATTCAAGATGCGACTCAGCTGCCCGTTGTCTCCCATGTTGATCGCGATCAGTGGCACGTCGTGAGCCTCTTCCGCCCAGCTCTTGAACTTCCTCAGAGCCGTGTTGTCGTCAAGGTTCTTAGCCACACCCACAAGCTTGATCACATCGCCGTACTCGAGCGCCCGGTTGTAGTACTTCATCCAGGACATGTTCGCCCACGAAAGTTCGCCCTTGGGGTCGTGGTGCGAAGCGATGATCTTGGAGTAGCCCTTCATCTCCGTAACTGCGCGCAGCATCTCGTCTGGGAAAGCAATCTCGAGATCCACAAACTCACACCCTGACCGAACTGCAAGTCGGTACAGCTGCATCGCCTCCTCATGAGCATCATCGGGGAAGCGACCACCCTGTCCCTTCGTGCGAATGGTGAAGATCAAGGGCAGTGTGATACGGCTGCGCAGGAAAGACATCTGCTCAGCAACATAATCGACCGACGGAATGCCGTTCGACGATCTTGGGTCTTCCAGCAGGTCGACCCGCAATTCGGCAGCGTCAGAGCCCACACATGCGCGCTCCAAGATGCCATCCGCACCACGCACGTCAGGCAGGGTCAGCGACACGAAGAACGAATGCTGCTTCTTCTTGATGGTACCGAGGCTGTCCACTAGTCCTGTGACAACCTTGATAAAACGCGCAAAGTCCTCAGACGCCCGGGTAAGTCCCGCGCTCGCGTGCCGACTGTAGTACTGGATATTGCTGCATTCCTGGAACCATGGCTTGCGGCGCAGCCACACTCCCATCATATCCTCAACGTAAGCCGGGCGGGTCTTATCGATGTTCAAGAATGCCATCACCTGCGTGATGTCACGCATGATGAGCAGTACATTTCCTTTCGTTTTGTGCCAATCGACGAGCAGCTTTCTGGCTTCGGGAATTTCTACTACTCCTCCACCACATGCGAAAACATGACCGGTCGGGCGCCCCTTCATCGTTCGCTGCAGAAGACTAAGCTCGGCATCTCTGAAACCTTGCCAGCCACGCTGCTTGATGATGTCCGGGATGGTCATGCCTTCTATGCGTTCGAGCTCCTCGTCAAGATCAACGAAGGGTCGCTTGAGCGTGGACGCAACCCATTGTCCAGTTGTGGTCTTTCCAGCACCACGCATACCGATAATGAACACTGACGCACTAGCCTTTTCCGCACGGGTGAGAATGGGAGATTCGGCTTCCTTCAGCTCCTTGCCCTCGAGCTTGACGGCGAATTGCTGTCGCAGAGTATCCCACCAGCCGGGCCATGTCTTACCCACGCACTCCTTTTCCAGAATCAGCGTAGGCTTAGGGGCAACGAGCGATAGGACGCTGAAGCTGAAAGCAACTCGGTGGTCATCGTAGCAGAAAACTCCGCCGGCCGGCTGCCGAAGGGTGGAACGGTCAATGCCGTCGATCTCAAGTCCATCATCGTGTTCCCGACAGACGACACCAAACTTGGCAAGCTCGTCGTTCATGGCCTTGATGCGGTTACATTCTTTGACACGCTGGTTCGCGATACCATAGATGCGAGTTGTGTGGTTCGAGTCCTTGCCGCGGGCAATGGCTGCAAGAACGGACGCCCCAAGGAATGCATCTGTCATTGGCTCCATATCGACGTTGGGCAAAGGCCGCAAGACACCGTCGGCCGGACCGGTAACGGTGGTCGAGGTGTCGGTCTGTTCCACGGTGCATCCCATGGGTCTCAGAACATCAACGGCGAAACGAGCATCGCCTTGGAGAGACTTGGATCCAATGTTCGGAATAGTGCATGTCGTGCCGGTGACTGCTGCGATTGCCAAGGGGTAGGTGGCGGAACTGGCGTCGCTCTCCACGACGTACTCTGCAGGGTTGATGTAACGTCCCTGAGGAATGTGATAAGTATGCTCCTCAGTGGTAGACTTCTTCACATCAATGCCGAAAGATCTCATCATGGCCGTCGTCATGTCAATGTAAGGCTGCGAGATGGGCTTCCCGCCCACCAGTTTCAAGGTCACAGGCTCCTTAGCGTAAGGGGCGCACATGAGCAGCGAGGACACATACTGAGACGACACTTTCGCGGCAAGGTTGATTTGGCCACCGGTGAACCCGCCTGAGGCGGCGATCTTGAGTGGCAGACTGCCCTTGTTCTCGACGTACTCAATCTGCGCACCATTGGCGGTCAGGGCATCCACCAAGTCGCCAATAGGTCTCTGCTTCATGCGGTTGTTGCCCGTGAGGACGCTTGAATCGACGCTGCTGGCAGTGGCAAGGGTTGCGACAGTGGTCAAGAAACGCGAGGCTGTACCCGCGTTGCCCAGGTAAAGCGGAGAAGGGTGAGCTTGAAGAGCTCCTCCTTTGCCGTTCACAACAAGGACTTCGCCTTCCTCTTCCCAGGAGAAGGTGGCGGCGCCAAGGCGTTCCAAGGCGTTCAGCATGACCTCGGTATCGTCGGAATGCAGGAGATTCTTGATACGGACAGTGCCCGAACCAAGAGCGGCGAGCACTAGAGCTCGGTTGGAGATACTCTTCGAGCCCGGAGGCGCACAAACTACATTCGAGGCCGGTGATACGCCGGGATACACCTCAATGCTGGGGGCAAGAACGACGCCGATATCCTCATTCGGCACCACACTAGCCCGTGGTTCGTATGTGCGACCGATGGCCGACAGGAGGACAATCTTCTTCTTAGGACCGTCGTTCTTCTTGTCCAAGGCCATGTTAAAAAGAATCTGGTCAACGGAGCAGTGCTTGCCAGCGGTCAGCTTGCGAATTCGCGAGTCCTTCAAAGACGTAGGCAAGCCGTAGGCGGCAATACACTTGACAATCCGGGCCACGGCAACGCCCTTCAAGATACCAAGATGTCTGGCCAGCTCCGCTTCCTTGACCATACCAATGGCAACGCACTCTCCATGGAGGATTTGAGGAGTCAGAATAGCCTCAATAGCATGGCCGATTGAGTGACCCCAGTTCAGAAGGTTACGCAGACCCCCTTCACGCTCGTCCGCCGAAACGACAAAGGCCTTGTGACGCGCCGAAGCGAGGATTCTCGCCTTCAGAATCTCTTCGATCCCCTCGAATCGCCGCTGACCCGGCTTGACCTCACGGCGAATAGCGCTCAAAATAGTTTCGGCATTGTCTTCGAGAGCGGTGAACTCTTCTTCGCTAGAGATGGCGGCTGTCTTGATAACCTCGGCCATACCGTTGATAAACTCCCTCACGGGAAGAGTTTCCAAAAATTCCAGGTCAATGTAGATTCTTGACGGTTGCCAGATCGCGCCAATCAAGTTCTTTCCCAAGGGGGTATCAATGGCTGTCTTTCCACCGATCGAGGAGTCCACCATAGCCAGGAGCGTAGTAGGAACCTGTACAAAGCGAACACCGCGCATATAGGTCGCAGCGACGAAACCCGTCAAGTCTCCAATGACCCCTCCACCGAGCGCAACAATCACAGTATCTCGGCCGCATGGGGGGCTCTGACTCAACATCCAATCTTCAATATCTGCTTTTGTCTGCCTCGACTTGGAAACTTCGCCTGGAGGAGCATTGTAGATCAACAGGCGGGGAGAGGGAGACACAGAGGCGGCGGCCTCTTCGAAGGACTTCTGGAAGCCAGGTGTATAGATCGATCCGATATTTGTGTCGGTGATCAGGACGTAGGTTGTAGAGGGACAGCCGCTGATAAGGTCTTTAGCGACATAATTCCGCCAGAGACCGAAGTCAGCGACTATACTCTCCTGGCCCAGGATGCTGATTTTCGTGGGTCCGGTCATGGTAGAGGGTCGGGATGGAGAGATAGCAACAGAGAATGAACTCGATTTCGGGGGCAATTCGGCCTTCTTCTCTTTATTGCATACTGTGGCCAGTCGCAAGCCGTCCTTATGTCCGTTTCAATGCGACCAATACCAATTACTGGAGCGAGGCGCAGAAGCCAAGGGTCAGCTGCAGAAACGAAGTCGGAGAAATTTTGAGCGGGGTGATGGAATGAATGCCTGGAGCTTCGCTGGGTATTCTAGCGAAGAGCAAAAGCAGCAATGGAGGCGACCGAAGAGAATGGACCCAGTATTGAACCAATTAATCAAAGTATTGATCAACTGGAAGAACTAGGATTTTTTTTTCAACGGAATGCTGACTTGTAGAAGTGTGATTCTTTTCCCAAAGTCAGAAATCCCCAGATTGACTCACCGTTTCCCGGTCCGATGTCGCGGCGGTACGGGCTTCGTCGTAGTCCACCGTACTCCGTAGTTAATAATTTGAACAGTTCCTCAACTGCGAGATCATGCCATCATTTATACTCAAACTTATATTTAGCTTACGAGAACGCAATGACAGAAGAGGTGTGCAAAAATGTCAGATTTCCAATTGCTGCAAAATGTATAGTTTCTCACGTATTGATACTAATTCCTTTCCCATTCCGCCAGCCGAACTCCGTGTCTCATATCCGCGGTCACCGAAGGGTACCTCATCCGAGAGGTGAGAGCCTTAGATGTAGAAAAATCACCAATTCAAATCTCAGTAACGACCGTATCCACCTGAATTTCTGGAAGAGTATTGGTCTTGGTTATATTGGCGTTGATCGCGATAACCGCCTCCGCGATAGCCACCTCCGCGATGGTATCCTCCGCCGCCTCTGTATCCTCCGCTGCCACCGTGGTCGGAGGACCTGCCATTATATTGGTTGGACTGGTTGTAAGATGAGGACTGATTATAGTATCCTTGCTGGCTCTGGCCATAATGGTCGCCCTGGCCATAATTTCCTTGGTACTGCCCGGGTCCTTGCCCGTAGGGAGGCCGATGATGCGAGCCCGACATTCCTCCATGTGGAGGAGGGGGAGGACCTCTGGAGAAGCCAGTGGACCCGGGAACTGGTGGGATCCAGCCCGAAGGCATCATATGACCGCCACCAGCATTACCAGAAACGGGTGGTACGAATCCAGGGTCGAGATGCGCAGCGAAAGGATTAGGCCTGTCGCTTGCATAGTTGATACGTCCGCCTCTATGCCCGCCGCGGAAAGGGGCGCCGCCGTATGATCTTCCAGAGTTCTGAGCCTTGTGCTTGACTGCTTGGATATCTGCGTTATCCAACGCCGGAGGGTTGAACTTGACACCTCGAAGGAGCATGGACTTGTGAACGTGGGATGACTTGGGGATCTCATAGTTCACACTAGGGCAGAAATCGATGTTAGTCAGGTATAAAAAGAGACAAGACAGAAGAGACTCACGTCAAGGACCGATCATCCTCCAAACTCGGCATGCCATATTCCTCGAGTGACGATACCAGAGAGCTATGAGGAATGTAGGCCTCATTACGCTCGACCTTACCCGCCAGACCGTCACTGATACGCATGTTCAACTTGTACTTCTGGGCGCCCTGCTTCTTCGAATAGAAATTGCCCACCAAGTCTTGATACAATGGATGAGCTTCGGAAAGCAACAGCACCTCTCGACCCACGCTGTTGCGGAGCCTTTCGTCTTCGCTGAGAAGATGGTATTTCTTTTCCATGGCGGCAAGTAGCCGCTTCTCATCAATGAAGGGCAGCAGAATAACACCCTGCCAAGCGAACTTCTTGCCATTCAGGTCCACAGCAAAATCCTCTGGATAAAAATCAATGATCTCACTCTCCGGATTACTCATAAGGTCGTGGAAAACTTCGGGAATAGCGTGATTGGAGGACGCTGGGAGAACACCCATCAACTGTTCAAATGGTTTGAACGGTACTCCCTTGTCGAAGTTTATCTCCATATCGCCAATGTCCACAAAATCTGCCGCGAAGGGAGCGTAATGATACGGATAGTACCAAGTCCAGGACGGGCATCCCTGGAAATAATACAGCAGAACCCATGCGAGTCCCTCGGCGTATGCCCGCGCAACCTTGTGGCGGAACTCCTTGTCTTCGGGGTCAACGCCAAACTTCTGCTCGTAATACCGGTCGGCGTACCCTTCCTCCCACAGACGAACGGTGTCGGGAGGCAGCTCATCCTCCTTGGCAGCAACAGGCATAGCGGGCGAGTCTCTGCCTGGAGTTCCTGCTTCCGTGTCCTCCTCTTCCACGAGATCGGCCTTTCGCTTGCCAAGGACTGATGGTGAGGTTTGCTCTGTTTGATCCTGCGAAGACTCACCATTATTTGACGCGGGCTCCTCAGATCTCTCTTCAACATCCTGACCATTTTGAGAGCCCTGCATCAACTTGCTCTTCAAGACGGCAGCCGCGCTCTTATTTGCCATGTTGGCCCGATAAACAGCGCCGCGGTTGACTACCATGCTGTGAGTGAGTTCCCTTGTCTCTCGAGACAATACTCCTCGACCAGGAGTGATCAGGTCCAGTTGATTCGGTGGCGCTGCATCACCGGCTCGGGGAGCACGGTGACTGCCGGGCGACTCCATGGGCTCGTAAGTGGGAGAACTTCTTCGTCGCTTCCTGGATCGTTCTTCCTCCCGAGCCTTTGCTTCCTGTTTCCGTCTTTTCTCGTTGGCGAGCTTTCTTTCCTCTGCTTGTCTACGACGCCGGAAGATGGCATCTTCCTGCTTTGCGAGTCCTTGCAGAATGAGCTGAGCCCGCTTCAGATCGACATGTCCATCCTCGGTCAGGTACCCGCCCATGGCGGGAATGTTATCGCGCCAAATGGCAATCAGAGTATCTATACCATTCTCACGGATGTCTAATGACGGTAGGTGAGGCAGGAAGTCATTTCCTACAAAGAAGCACATGAAGACCCAATCATCCAAAGCCCGTTCGAGGTCGAAGGGGAATGGTTGTTGCGGCACATACAGCTCAGCAGCGAGATACTCTCTGAGGATGGAAACATGGAGCCAGATGAATGGTTTGAGAGAGGAACCTTTTTGCTTTTCATCAAATTCCCCATTCTTCTCCTTCGCCTGACCCCTGCACTCCTCTGCCTTGTGGCCTTGTTGACCACAGAGATTGCAGGTTCGTGCCCGAGACTCCTGGAAGAAGACGTCTTCACGCAATACCCTGAAATGGGGTTCATGGGTAGCAAGACCCAGCATGATCAAATCGGCATCCTACAAGACAAATCGTCAGCGGCATGCATCGGGTAATGCGCAGGGTATAACCCACCAATCCGTAGATAACGTGACGAGTGTTCGGGTCGTGCTCGGGTGCCGCCCTTTGTGATCGGATAAATTCCATGATCTTGTGCTCGCCTTCACCGGGTACAGTCGCATCCGAAATAATGATTTTAAGCTATAGTAGTTAGCACGCGTTCGCATTAGACCCGCCGAGATATCATACCTTCTCCCAAGCCGGGTCGGTATTCAACTTGTAAGAGATCCAGTAGCGAAGAGATGCAGCGAGAATGTCCATGAACGGGGTTCCTGGAGTAATGACGTTGCTATCCCATGTTTTCTTGACAACCTCTTCCTGAATCTCTTGGTCCACTTTGTTGCCGTTCTGTTTAGCGAGCATCTTGCGAAACTCCTCCTTCTTTTCATCCGCTTCTTTCGCCTCTTGGGCCGATCGGAATCGACGTGCTCGTTGCTGGTTCATCTTGGCTCGCGGCGCGACACCATCTGTAGACGAGTCATACGTTAGTCGAGAATCGAAGAGGATCAGATTGGCCTGGTCACATACCAACGGCGATCATGAGAAGTTTCCTCGGACGGACCATGTTCACCACGCGGTCAGTGTACTTGAAGATTTCCACCATCATCTCCTGCTCGTTCGCCGGCGGCGGCTTGCCCTCAGGATGGGTACATGGATGGACAATACCATTCATGTCCAAGTAGAGATTATCCATCTCCTCTCCATTGGGGTTTGGTCCAGTAGTGTCAACGGGAACTTCTTCGCCGTTGACTTCGTAGGGCAACTCTTCAATGACCGGGGAAATGATCTTGGGGTATTTGTTGGAGAGCCATCGAAATAATGCCGGAACACCCATGATGGCGACAGTAAAATATGGCTATGCTGAAATCTAGGTAAATTTATGAAGAAGAAAGGTTGAGATTCAACAGCCGCTGATCCGCTCCATCAGCTTTCTCGAACACTAGCCTCTCCTTGTCGCTGATCTGTAGCGATCGGGACGATATGTAACTCTATCCTCGTTTAAAGATGTCGCATCAAGATCAGACGTCCAACATCTGATACTAGTACAATGTGCGAAGACAAAAACCTGGCAAATCGTGCGTCAGTGAAAGGATGGTTGTCTGAAAGTCTCTGCGATAAGATGAAGCCGGGGTTTCGGCGCTTTTCTTGTCGCGGTTCCGGGAGCTTAGCGGCCCCTTGGCATTGATTGTTCGAGCCACTAGACAGCTGTTATCCCAGAATAACATCAGTGTTGTGGTGATGACAACGCAATTGGAATTGTGAATCTTATTTTGTCAGACTATTCGATGCCTAAATATTACGACGCCCTCGGCTGGCGGTGACCATGATATTACGATCAATTCGTTGCGATGTTCCGAATCCTCGAATCACAGGCGCCGGCCAAACAAACGGCAACGGACACAATCAACACTCTGAGCAGTAGACTCCAAAGTGCGACTTTACTGGAGGATCGACGCGCGGCCATACAGGGACTAAGGAGCTTCTCAAAGCTTTATCCAGCCTCTGTTGCTTCTGGAGCGCTACGACCATTGATCAACAGCCTGAGAAATGACCGAGAAGATGTGGACACGATCAAGGTGGTCTTGGAGACCTTGTTGATGTTATTCTCCCCAGATGAGAGCAGTGTGCGTTGATTGTCTTCACCCGTTAATAGGACTTGCTGATAGGTAGCTCACAGCCCGAAGCGTCTGATGAGATAGCCCTGTGGCTTGCGGATGAGTTCACTCAGGTATGTACTGACTACGTCGTACGAAGGTCATATACAGCTAATGAGGCGAAAGCGACAAGACAATATCACCGCACTTCTCGATCTCCTTGATACGCGGGACTTTTACTCTCGCCTGTATTCGCTGCAGTTGATGTTCCAGATCTCAAGTGCCCGGCCAGAAAGGACACAGGAATGTATACTAACTGCCCCGCTGGGTATCCCCAGGCTTGTCGGTGCTCTGGGGGATAGTAGGGAACCCATTCGTAATGGTAAGTTGCACCTAAGTTGGTCTTACTACAATGCTCGAGTAATTGACCATGGTTGCCCGTTTTACAGAAGCACTACTGTTACTCATTGCCTTGACACCTGCCTCCGAAGAATTTCAGAAACTCGTTGCCTTCGAAAATGCATTTGACGTGGTATTGTCCCTGATCGAGAATGAGGGTGGTTTGACGCATGGATTAGAGGTCGTGGAAGATTGCCTGTCTTTGCTGGCCAATCTTCTACGCCTCAATATATCAAACCAGTCATTCTTCCGAGAGACCGGCTGCGTGAAGAGATTGGCAAAACTCCTAGCCGATGTCAACAAAGAGCAGGATTCAACTGAGGATGTTCCCCAATGGACGCATGGTCAGCGCGATAAGAATATCTGGGGCTTACTAGTGATTATCCAGCTGTTCCTCGTCAAGGGTGGGATTAACACTCCCGCCAATCAGATGGCTTTCTGGAACAACGGGGTGATGGAGCAAATATTGAGCGCGGCCTTCGGCCAGAAGTTCAATGTCAATGTGACGTCCAAGGTTTGTGCTTTCGCGGTTTCCAGGTGCGACTCATCGATTGACCTCTCTAGGCGTTGGCTACATGCGCCGATTTGATCCGCGGAAATTCGTCCCTGCAGGAGAGGTTCGGGGACATTGAGGTCTTCTGGGGCCGACAGCCCAGTCAAGACGGCGTTGTCAATGGGGACAAAGTCGCCAATGGTGTTCAGCGCGTCAACGTCATCGAAGCATTGCTCAAATTGAGTCTTGAACCCGCCCCAATACAGGTACTGGATGCCCGTCTGGCCGCAAGTGAGTGTATCAAGGCATTCTTTGCAAATCATCCGGGGATTCGCGTCCACGTGTTGCGAAGAGCGATTGATGGACATCTCAGCGGGCAGGATCAAATCCCGAATATCATGACTGTTCTGCTCATCTCGCCGGATGCTCGAGGAAATTCCGATCCTTATCAAGTGTGGATTGCATCTGTCTTAATGTTCCACTTGCTGTTTGATAATGCCGAGGCAAAGGCGATAGCCATGCAAGTGACAGAGGGCGACGCTGAAAGTGGTGAAGAAGTAATCACCTGCATCCAAACAATTCTGGGAAACCTAATCACAGGAATGCAAAGGGGTGATGACGAGAGAATCACGGTAGGCTATTTGATGTTGCTATGCGGGTGGCTCTTCGAAGAGCCAGATGCTGTCAATGATTTTCTTGGAGAGGGTAGCAGTATTCAAAGCTTATTGCAAGAAACTAAGCATCGGGGTGTCTCCAATGTACTTGTGCCCGGCCTGAGCACGATCTTACTGGGAATCATCTACGAGTTTTCCACGAAGGACTCGCCCATTCCTCGGGCTACGTTGCACAAGTTATTACTCGAGCAGCTAGGCAGAGAGCAGTATATTGACAAGATAACTCGCTTCAGAGGATCGCCCATGGTCCGGGACTTCGAGGTCTTGCCGCAAACGGTGGGAGGGCAGTTTGACGCGGGGCTACCTGATATTTTCTTTGACAGGATGTTCATTGAATTCCTTAAAGATAATTTCAGCCGGTTGATTCGGGCAATTGATCGGGAACCCGGGCTTGAGATATCTGTCATCACAAATGGCATTCAGCGAGGGATTTCGCGAGAACTGGTCGATTCGCTAAGGGCTGAGCTCGGAGAACGAAGCCAAGCTGTGCAGAAGCTCGAATCTGACTTGGTCAATTTGCGAAACCAATTTGAGCAAGAGCAGCTTGAACACAGGAAGTACAAGGACCTGAGCAGCTCAGAGACTTCAAAAATACGGCAGATTAACGAATCATTGCAACGAAACCATGAACAAGAGTTGGCGAGATTGGAAGAACAACACAAACATGCCAAGAACGAATTGCTGAAACAGCATGGTGACCAACTTCGAGCTATCGACAACCAGCTCAAGGAAACCTCCGCTGAATACGAGAGGAGAAGCCAGCAAGTCAAGAAGCTGCACGATGCCGAAGTCGCTGATCTCCAAAAGAAAGTCCAATCGCTAGAATTGGAGCTTACCCGCGTCAGGGAAGAAAGTGCAGGCGAAGTTGGCAGCTTACAAACGACGATTCAGACGATGAGATTAGAAGCAGACCAAAGCAAAGGACAACATTGGGCCCAGGTAGCAGATCTTGAAAGCACAATCCAAAGTTTGCGCTCAGAACTAGACGAAAGCAAGGCGAAGCATGCCGACCAGGTCTCTAATCTCAGCGGCACGATTCAGAAGCTGCAGTCCGAGCTTGCCGCGGCCAAGCAAGGACATGAGACTGAGCTTGCTGACATCAAAACGAAAGCTCAGACGCTACAGTCTGAACTTGACAAAGCCAAAGAAGGACATGAGACTGAGATTGCTGACCTTAGAGCGAAGGCTCAGATCTTACAGTCCGAACTCGATTCTAGTACGGAAAAGTCAAAGAAAGATCTCCAGGCTGTTCACAATGACTACTCATCTAAGCTCTCAGAGCTCGAAAAGCGGGCCAAGCAGGCTGAGAGCAAGGTAGAAAAAGCTGAAGCAGATGCACTCAGATCTGCTGAAGCACTTAAGGAGATCCAGACACAACTTGAAAAGACCAAGGCTGAAGTTGAGGAGAAGGAGGAAGCCCGCAAAGCAGCGCAGTCCGAACTCGAAGATCTCCTGATCGTATTTGGGGATTTAGAAGCGAAGAGAAATCAAGATAAGGTGAGTCACCGGCTACTTAAATTCGGACAAATCACTAAGTAATGACCTTTCCAGAAACGCCTCAAAGATCTTGGACAAGACGTGTCTGAGGCTGAAGATGATGAAGACGAGGACGAGGCCGAGGAGGAAGAATGAGGTCTGGCGTGTTTATACAGGATGGAACTGCGATCCATGCGAGCTAGCTTTCAACACATTCTTATAAATTCAACTAGATACCATCAGCCAGCATATATTAGCGATATTCCAGACTCTCCTGCGTCTCTGTAACAATGCTTAAGGGCGGTAGGGCAAGAAATCTTGGCAGAAAATCGGCCTGTGGGGCATGAGTCATTGCCGCCCTACAATTATCATCTTTTTTATCTACCCCCGCGACCCCTCGCTCCCGGCCATAGATCGCACCGACAGCCATTATCTGACGACTATCCGCTCAACCGTCATGTCCATTGATTTTCCGGCTGAGGAAGAGATCACCCTCAAGAGGTGGAGGGAGATCAACGCCTTCGGGAGGCAAGTCGAGCTATCCCGTGGCCGCAAGCCCTACACTTTCTACGATGGCCCTCCATTCGCAACGGGCCTTCCTCACTATGGTCATTTGCTGGCCTCGACTATCAAGGATATTATCCCTCGATACTGGTCAATGAAAGGTCACTATGTCGAGAGACGGTTCGGTTGGGATACACACGGTGTCCCCATCGAGTACGAAATCGACAAGAAGCTCGGGATGTCGGGCTTGGAGGCTGTCGAAAAACTCGGCATTGAAAAGTACAATGAGGAGTGCAGAGCTATTGTCATGAGATTCGCGGCTGAATGGCGGGAGACCATTGAGAGGCTCGGCCGTTGGATTGACTTTGACAATGACTACAAGGTACGTTACCCCGCTGATCATGGTGCGGATACATATCGCCTCAATTTGTACTGACGGGATTAGACCATGAACGCCAGTTTCATGGAATCAGTTTGGTGGGTTTTTAAGCAGCTGTTTGACAAAGGACTCGTCTACCGTGGCTACCGTGTCATGCCTTTCTCGACCGCACTCAATACCCCCCTGAGTAACTTCGAAGCGCAACAAAACTACAAGGATGTGCAGGATCCTGCAGTAGTTGTATCATTTCCTCTGGTAGATGACCCTGAGACCTGCCTTCTCGCATGGACGACCACGCCCTGGACCCTGCCTTCTAACGTGGCCCTCGCTGTCAACCCTGGTTTCGAGTACATCAAGATTTTCGATGAAGCCTCCAAGAAGCACTATATCCTTCTCGAATCGCTCCTTCGCACACTCTACAAGGACCCTAAGAAGGCCAAGTTTAAGATTGTGGATCGTTTCAAGGGTGCGGACATGAAGAACTGGAAGTACCAGCCACTCTTCGATTATTTCTACGAGGAGTTCAAGGATTACGGTTTCCGTGTGATAAATGGGGATTATGTATCCGCTGAGGATGGTACCGGTATCGTCCATCAGTCGCCGGCCTTCGGTGAGGAGGATTACAAGGTTGCTATGGAAAGTGGTGTTATAAGCGAAACACGTCTGCCACCTAATCCTGTCGATGAGACGGGCTGCTTCACCGCGGAAGTTCGTGATTTTGTTGGTCAGCATGTCAAGGCTGCCGATAAGGCCATCATCAAGCACCTGAAGGGCCTCGGCCGTCTGATCGTCGACAGCCAGATTACTCACAGCTATCCATTCTGCTGGCGTTCTGATACCCCTCTTATTTACCGCGCTGTGCCCTCCTGGTTTGTCAAGATCGGCCCCATCATTCCCCAAATGCTTCAGGGTATTGAAGACTCGCACTGGGTTCCTTCTTTCGTCAAAGACAGGCGTTTCGCCAGCTGGATTCAGAATGCTCGGGATTGGAACATTTCGAGAAACCGCTTCTGGGGAACACCGCTTCCATTGTGGGTCAGTGACGACTTCAAGGAAGTTGTGGCTGTAGGAAGTGTCGAGGAGCTCAAGGAGCTGAGTGGCTACGAAGGAGAAATCACTGACCTTCATCGTGACAAAGTGGACAAGATCACTATTCCAAGTAAGCAAGGCAAGGGTGTCCTCCGACGTGTCAGCGAGGTGTTTGACTGCTGGTTCGAATCGGGTAGCATGCCATACGCATCCCAGCATTATCCCTTTGAGAACAAGGAGCAATTCGAGAAGAGCTTCCCCGGTGATTTCATCGCCGAGGGCCTTGATCAGACGCGTGGTTGGTTCTACACTTTGACTGTCCTGGGAACACATCTCTTCGGCACCCTGCCCTTCAAGAATTGCGTTGTGAACGGAATTGTTCTTGCTGAGGATGGAAAGAAGATGTCGAAGAGATTGAAGAACTACCCTGATCCCACGCTGATCATGCAGCGGTACGGTTCCGATGCCCTTCGACTCTATTTGATTAACTCCCCCGTCGTGCGTGCCGAGCCGCTCAGATTCAAGGAGTCTGGCGTGAAGGAAATCGTTGCCAAGGTTCTCCTCCCTCTGTGGAACAGCTACAAGTTCTTCGAGGGTCAGGCAGCTCTGTTCAAGAAGAACAACGGTGTTGACTTTGTCTTCGACCCCAAGGCTGAAACCACCAACACCAACGTGATGGACCGCTGGATCCTGGCCAGCTGCCAAAGCTTATTGAAGTTCGTGAACGAGGAGATGGCTGGATACCGTTTGTACACAGTGGTTCCTCGGTTGCTCGAGTTGATTGACAACACAACCAACTGGTACATCAGATTCAACCGCAAGCGTCTCAAGGGCGAGAACGGCATTGATGACACTTTGCATGCTTTGAACACCCTCTTCGAGATTCTCTACACCCTAGTCAGAGGTCTCGCTCCATTCACACCATTCATCACCGACACCATCTACCAGAAGCTTCTTCCCCACATCCCCGAGGCGCTCCGTGGCGAAGACAGCCGGAGTGTCCACTTTCTTCCCTTCCCCGAGGTGCGCGAGGAACTGTTCGATGAAGTCGTTGAGAGACGGGTGGCACGGATGCAGAAGGTCATCGAGATGGCCCGTATCTCCCGTGAGCGCCGCTCCATCGGGTTGAAGTCGCCTCTGAAGACTTTGGTTGTGATTCACCAGGATCAGCAATACTTGGACGATGTGAAGTCCTTGGAAGGCTACATCCTGGAGGAGTTGAACGTCCTTGAGCTTGTCTTGTCGTCTGATGAGGCCAAGTACAATGTTCAGTACAGCGTTAGTGCCGATTGGCCTACCCTGGGCAAGAAGCTGAAGAAGGACGCCCAGAAGGTCAAGAAGGCATTGCCATCCCTCACCAGTGATGACGTGAAGAAGTTTGTTGCTGACAAGAAGATTCTTGTTGACGGCATCGAGCTCGTCGAGGGTGACCTTGTCGTGAAGCGTGGTCTCAAGGAGGATGCTGCATCTGAGGGAATGGAACCTAACACTGATGCTGATCTGCTGACCATCCTTGACGCCAACCTATACCCCGAATTGGCTCAACAAGGATTAGGTCGAGAGATCATCAACCGTCTTCAGCGTCTGCGTAAGAAGGCCGGTTTGGTCCCTACTGATGATGTGAGAATGGAATATGCCGTTCTCTCTGATCCCGACAGTGTTGGTATCAACGAGGCTTTTGAGACGCAAGCCAAGACCATTGAAAAGGCTGTCCGCAGGCCCTTGGAACAGGTTACCGTCGTTGATGGCAAGGTCCCCAGCGGAGACAAGGAAGCTCTTATCATGGAGGAGGAGCAGGAAGTTCAAAAGGCAACTTTCCTGTTGCGGTTGCTCAAGCTGTAGTTTCGGGCCATCTGTATTGAGACATGCTGCATGAAAATAGCGAAGACCTTACATTTGTCTAAAGATGAATTATGTTTACGAATCTCTTGGTGCTATCTGGAATTGTAGCAAATCACTTCTTGAATCTCGGGGAAACCCCTGTGTACGCCTGACCCAGTGTAATTTCCCCGACAAATATTTTGACCTCCACAACCTCATACCTTCTTGGATGCCGCCTATAATTTCATCAATAAGCTGCACCAACCATAGCTTCTGAACAGCATACCAAAAAGCAATCTTTTAGCTTCATGAACTCTCTAGCACACATGTCCTTGTGCACTGCATTGTAGTCAGCAACAATGCATTTGCCATATGCAGTGGCCTGAGGACTAATTAGCTTGCATACCAACAGTAAGAGCGGCGCGGTGAACAGGGAACATACCTCTGCAGAGCACTTAGAGGCAGCTTTTGCAAACTTCTCAATGGGTCTTGTCCTTGTTGATGGCATTTTTTGTTTGATACTGCAACTGATTCTCCGTAGCTTTTCTCTCTGCTGGTGATGCAATTCAGAGCGACGGCCCCAGGGCAACGCATTACATAAGCACTGCCAATCACATGATGTACGCATTCCCATCTGCGGTTCGGCGCGACACCAACAAACAATTCGAGTTCTGGGGACAAAGCTGGGGTCCTGTGTCCTTGTCTCAACGCTCTGCGTACTGGGACATAATTATTTTTTTCTGGATTTCTTGGATTTTGTTTTTCAAGCATTGGACACTGCGGATCTTTGTTCTACCGTCATTTTTGCGTCCCGCAATGCATGATTTCGTTTTCCGCCTCCATGACCGATCTGCGAAAAACGCGCCTTAGGTCGCGGACTTTTCGATGCCTCCGAATCCCCCTCAGCCTAGAGCTTTATCCTTCGAAACCCCGTCGCTTTCAGACGAAGGTAGGCAACTTCGATCATTGGCATGTCGCGATTTTGCGATTCGAGTTCTTTATCTAATTTCTGTCTCTCCTGTGTATAGATGTCGGTCTCTTGTATCAGATCGTTGTCCGCGCGGAGCTGGATCCGGATGTCGACCGACTCCCCTTCAGGGCGTTGTTCAAAGCGTATGATGAGGTCATTGCTGAGCATAAAGTGGACGCGGATCCAGGCCATGCCTGTCTACGCTTCCTCTTCAAAATGGGAAGCAAAGAAGTCGTAGGCGATTCTCTGTTCGAAAAGTTTGAGAATCTGCTTCGCCAAATGGATATTGTCATTGACTTCGGAGGCGATGATACCTCTACCGAAACGAATGACACATATGAGTACAAAGACCCTTCAATTGAAGGTTGGCGCCATAGGAGGGTCGATCGCGATACCACGCCAAGAGAGGATACTACGCAGACGAGGCGCCGTAGGCGAGCATCATTCAACTCTATGTATGACGTTGGCGATGATATCACGCAAAGAAGCTTCGTCAACCGCCCGAGCTCGCGTTCCTCCATGTCGCGTCTGCAGACAGGGAAGACTGAATTTCCTGAGCCGACACCAGTCCTGGCCGAGAAACGGCAAACCTCTCCTGACAGGACTCAATTGATGGCTCAATTTGTGGACGTTGGGCGTAGGTTGATGCGCCGAATGGACGAGCTGGCTTTTAAGGAGGAGAGACGGGATAAAACACCGACTTTTGTTGGGAAAGATGCCAGATCTGCGGTTGACCGAGACCGTTCCGAGAGAATGGCAGAAGCCTCGCGATCAAGGTCACGGTCCCGGGCTGCCCGCGCCGCAAGCTCCATAGCCTCGGATGAAGACAGTGAAGGGTCCACTACATACTCGCAAGACGACGCGCACAACGCTTTCGAGAAAAGGGAGGTGCCCCCAGAAATGCTGTATAGACCATCACTCTCCGATTTGCTGCGCGATGCTTCGACATTCAATATGTATCGTCAGCGCGCAATCGCTCGGCGCATTCTGACGCAGTGGTTGAAGAAGGCGGTCCAGACGCAACAGAGTCACCGAAATATGGAAGTGGTCGCGGTCAATCGCGACAGGATAACCCTCCTACGGCAAGCTTTTGAGACGTGGCGTACAATTATCCAAGATAAACGCCGGGTTGCTCAGACAGAGAGATTCTTCAAACATCTCGAAGAGCGTGCTGGACGCGCCAGAGATCTCTATCTTATGACCAAAGCCTTTACCCATTGGGCGCAAATCGCCTCTGACGAAGTTGCAAAAACGTCTGCTGCCCGACGACATATTCTCCGTGTCAAGTATTTCAACGCTTGGCGTGAAATTACAGCTGTCAATGAGCTGAAAGCTCAGCGATTCGCGCTGCGAAGACCCTTTAATGCCTGGCGAAGCAAGGCCCGAGAAGCGAAGGAAATGGAGCAAAAAGCAGTGACCGTTCATAACAGGAAGCTGATTCATGCTGTCTACTGGCAATGGTTCTGGAGTTTCTGTGATCGGCGGGCCCCCCAGTGGTACGATCATCGGCTCAAGCGACGTTCCTTGCTTTACTGGCTGCGAAAGTTCCGCATGAATAGGGAGCTTATTCAAGAGATAGAAGCCAGGAATAAGCATACTGCTACTGCGACAGCTTGGCAGCTATGGTATCAGAGATCCAAAGCCATTGTTGCTGCGGAAAACGACGCTACATCCATGGATCGCAAGCAAGTACTGCAGGAAAAACTCGAGGAATGGAGAGTCGAGGCTCGATTAGGCCCAATTGCTTCTCGTGTCTCTGCGACGATAGATAAAAATATTACCCAAACGGCATTCACGCAGTGGGCCAAGCGGCTCCGGATGCTCAGACAAGCGAAAGAAGTGGATCGACTGAGGGTTATGCGCAATTCATGGACCGCTTGGAATGATCTACTTCGATGTCAGGCTCTGACTGCGCGGATAGAAGAGCGCATGAAGATGGAAATCATGTACAAATGGATTCTCGCAGAACGATTTCGTTTGATGCAAAGGATTCGCGATCAACGAATCACGCGCGATGTGTTCTCTAGGTTCGTGACAAACGTGCGTGAGACTTATACACGTCTCTTGCACCATGCCGATGTACATGAGGAGTGCCGCAACGAAGAACTTCTCCGATCGAAGTTCATCTGCTGGCGGGAACAGCTTGCGCTGCAGCGCCAACGCGAAGTGGCTGCGTCCGAGTTCTATGCGCCACGCCTTCAGCAGGAATCACTCGTGGCCTGGCACTCGAAACACCAACACATGACAAAATTGGAGGGATGGGCTCGGGACGCCCGGTATTACTTTCTAGCGACCAAAACGATCAAAAAGTGGCACAAGGCTACAGTGGACTCTGCCAAGCGTCGTCGCCAGGAAGCCTATGCCAAGACGCGGCGAAAGATCAAGATAAATCTTGCCCTCAAAGCGCTAACGCATTGGCATTCGAGAGCTCAGCATGTCGCAGAATTGGAGCAGCAAGCGATAGACCTGTGTCGAAGCAAGACTTTGGTTATCGCAGCGGAATATCTGCAGACATGGCGCGAGTCGACTGATAAAAGAGTACAAGACTGCGAAGAAGCGGAGATCTTCTACGCGCGCCAAATTGCTCGAGGCCAGCTGACACGCTGGAGGGAATCGACCACCAAGTATCGCGACCTGAAGCAACAAGCGAACGACGTTTATCGCCTGCACGGCTTGGGCCGCGCAAACGGTCAGCTTCGCAAACTCAGCCTTCGTATCTTCCAGATCAAAAGCACATTCGAGACTGCAGATTCTATGCGCGAACGCAATTTGAGAAAACATGCAAGAAGCATGTTCCGCCATTGGTCAGAGAAGGCCAGGATGAAGCTGGAAGCTCGAGACATTCCGGGTCCATTGAAAACTCCTGCAAGAACCTTTGACGGTGCACTCACGAACGGGACAGGCGAGGCCATTTTTGATCCCTGGTATCAAGCCGAGAATCCATTCAAGCTCAGCGAATTTGTTACCAAATCCCAGGCTCCCTCAGCAACTCCGCTTACCACCCCTAACTACATGATCTCCCCGTCCAAGCGAGCCGCGCGAGTCAAAGCACTCACGCAGATTTCTACAACCCCTGCGACCCCCCTGTATACGCCGTTTGCCAGTCGATTGTTGCGTGCCGAGGCTTTGGGCACGCGGACTGGTTCGAGCTTCCGAAATCGCACTGGCCGGGGCAACACCTTCGGCACAAGTGTGCGGTTTGTTGATCAACCTCCTGAGTCGCCGACTGAGGGTCGCGGCTCAGGGAATCGACGTCCTTGAGATATTATCCGCTTTTGATTCATGTACATGCTTTCTTTCTTGATTCATCTTGCGATTGGTGCCCTGGAGGAGCATATCGATACCTTGTTGCATGTTCCTGTGGCGTGTGGTTAAATACATCGTGGGCTTTTGGGTATTTATATCGACTGTAAACCACTATTGATTTTGGATATATGCTCTATGAGTGATAGACGACCAGGAGATTTTGTGATGAGTGACGCAATTGAGTGCAGACGGTGTTTATTTGCTTCTTGGACATTATGGATGCTCTTCAAATAAAGTAGCCTGACATCGATACTGCAATAGAGCATGATACTGCCATACCATACTCTGCCTGGAGATAGTCCTCTAACAGTTGAAATCAGCTGTAGAGATCTGGTAGATGTTGGTCGCATGCTCTGGTCACACGGCGGGAGCGCCAATGGTGGAGCAAGTAGACAGCGGAAACAGCGTAATCGACATCAACAACTCACACCTCCGTACGGAGTATATTATTGTCTGTCTTTCCCCACAAGTTTAGGAGTCAGCATATCTGAATCTCTCTCGACATTCTTGCACATTCTTCGACTGGCTCTCGTCGTCATCACGTGTCTATTGCTGGCAATGGTGTAGCACCGCCGAGCGCAACAAGCGTCCAACTCGATCAACGACCGCCTCTATGCGAGCGGTGCAACCAGGGAGACCTCCCGCGAAGCTCCAGTCTTTCAGCACAGCGCTGTGGGACGGTCTCCGCGTGGTTGTAAGCAGATATCCTTGTGATTTTCGAGACGATCTGATGCTTCATTTGCTTGACTCCAAGCTCCGCTGACCCTTGTCGCTTTCGCGTTTTTATGTAGGTGTACATTTCCGGGCATGCGCTGGTTATTCTCGGCGGTCCGCAGACCCTCCTTCAGACCATCTACGTGGACGATACCAAAACCCTCGAGGCCGTGACGATTGATGAAGCTTCTGGAAAAATTGCTGTGTGTGGTGGACCCGACGTCTTCATTTACCAGCCGTACGGCATTCAGCATGAAACGTTGAAGGTGCGTGTTCATTGTCCCACGAATGGTGGTGGTCGCACGTTGCTGACGTTGCTGGTGATTTCGGAATGCAGTGGTCCCTTCTACATACGTTTCGCAGCGAAGATGATGACGAGACAATCCGAACCCTGTCCTGGGGCTCCTCCGACGAGCTACTCCTGGGCAATTCGCACCTTACACTATGGTTCTTAAATGACGTGCCGCGCCTTGTATGGAAGCAGAAGCTCGCCAACCCGGTCAAGTTTGCGCAGTTCTCTCCCGATTCGACACTGGTGGTCACTACGGGACATTATGACCGCATGGTCAAGGTTTGGCGGCGGCTCTCCTTTGGTGCGGATGATGTGCGGTTTGAGGTTTCATATCTTGCACACCCGGCGGTTGTTACAGGGGTACATTGGCGTAAGCCAATTCACCGAGAACAATCCTTGGAGAATGTGTTCTACACTCTGAGCGCGGACAATAAGATCAGGGTCTGGGCTGCGATAGACCATCATGCCCCGTCAGCTCTCCAATTATGGACGGAGATTGACATGGGTGCATCTGTTCAGCCGAGAGAGACTGCGGATGAGAAGAATAGACATCGTCGATACGGGTTCATTGTCGATAGCCGAGACTTTTGTCTTGCGACTGAACGAGCGGTGCAGCGAAGCGCAGGAGATAAGGAGAACCATGCTTTGGAACACATCATTGAAGTTGCGAACAAGAACCCGGAAATCTGCGTCATGCTAGACGGACAAGGCCATATGTCTGCTTGGGCTTTGGAGGATGTTGGGTCCAAGGCCAAGTCGAACATGAACGCCTTCAACATTCTTCACGTAGAGGGCCTTGATTTCTCCTTCATGTCTGGACTGTCCGCGGAGGAGGATTATGCTCAGTTCTGTGCTTTTCAGACGACACCACTGGGAGACTCATTTTCTATTATTGTCCATCACTTTGATGGCAGGATTGAGTGGTTTGACTCGCAAGTTGATGTCCTGTTTGACCCAACGCCGCGCAAAAACCGGATCGCCCTGAAAGCGTCTTGGACCGGACATACTGATCCGATCAAGAAGATCGTTCGAAATGCAGCTGGAGACACGCTTGTTTCTCGCACTAACGAGAACAAAGCCACGATCTGGAAGCAAAGGTGGAGACATGGTCGGTCAGTTTTGGTCCGGAAGAGCTGGCTCTATTCAGACGAGCACATTCATCGTAGCTGCGTCATCGAAAGTGGTGACTTTCTGGTCAATCTTCACCATTATGGCATCTCTGTCTGGGATGTCCGCTCTTTTCATGCCCGGAAGATCGCCTTTTCTTCGTTCGAACTCTCGAGCAAACCGCTCTGCATCCTCCCATTACCGACAGCGGATAAGGGCGGCAACGTTGTCTACATCGCAACCATAGGGGCTGATATGAACGGGATAGCATGGGAGATACGTTTACCCACTGGCAAATCTCAGACCAATGGTGTTTTGTCAGCTACACAGTGCTCACTGCGGAAGTTTTGTACCTTCAATCTGGGTCTCGACGAGGACATGTCATACATCTTGCCTGTCGACCCTGCAGGCCCTCAAACAACAGTATCGGGATTTTTCGATCTCTTTTCTCCAGATATAGCGCTGTCGTATACCACGCGAGGTGTCATTCATACCTGGACTGCCAAGGTCGACCAGCAGAATAGCCAGGTGGAGTTCTTGCTGACCTCGACAGTCGACACGGGCATTGAGAATCCCCCCCTCGCCAGTGGGAGCTCTACTAAGAAGGCAGCGCTTGTAGACGGAGACCGCACTCATCTGACAATCTGGGACACAAACGGTGCGCAATTGGAGTTTGAGGAACATTTCGCCCAGCACGATGTCATTCGCGATCTCGATTGGACATCTACGCCAGACAAGCAGTCAGTCCTGGCAATCGGTTTTCCGCATAAAGTCATACTACTGTCTCAGTTGCGCTATGACTATCTCGATGCTCGTCCATCCTGGACGCAGATCAGAGAAATCTGGATCCGGGATCTGACACCTCACCCCATCGGTGATTCTTGCTGGCTTAGCAACGGCCACCTTGGGATTGGCGCTGGAAATCAACTCTTTGTTTACGATAACGAGATTGACGCCAGCGATCGCTTAGTTTCGCAGCTCCGCATACCCTCTCGCGGTCTGTCTTCAGTTGACTTGTTCGAGGTTGTTAGTCGACTAAACGGTCCGCTACCTGTCTTTCATCCACAGTTCCTGGCGCAATGCATCCTCAGTGGCAAGACCAATCTGGTGCATTCTGTTTTGACCACCCTGCATCGGAAATTGAAATTTTACACTGAAGGTGACGACATTGATGGCTTTTTGGAAATGCCGCTGGAAGACTTCTACGTGGAGCACGATGTAAGTATTGCACTGTCATTTCTGAGCCTTGAGTTGACATAAGCAGATTCCGCAGCAAGCATCTTCCAAACATTTACAGGCCGGGTACGCCGACCTGGATCTGGGTGAAACTTCAAATGTGATGGACGAAAACGCTGCCACCGCACTGAATGAGAATCTCTCTCGCTTCGCATTGCCACAACTTTCCAGCCATGAGCAGTTCCGCTTAGCTGATACAATTGAATGCGTTGCTACAGTCGAGAAGCACCGACGGTCAATGGATGATAATGCTGCGCGCTATCTTTTGTTCTTTCGGCAGCACATGCTGAGAAGAAGTCAGGGCGTCGCAAATAAGGATACAGTATCTTGGAGAGAGATCGTCTGGGCGTTCCATAGCGGCAGCCAAGACATCCTGTCCGATCTTGTGTCAAGACAGTACGGCGGCAGGATGCAATGGACGTCAGCCAGGGAAAGCAGTATCTTTATGTGGCTGACAGACTCTAATGCTATTGTAAGCAATCCCCGACTTCATCCTTTACCAGGATGACGAGCTAACACAGAACAGCGAGGGCAATTGGAGATTGTCGCGCGTAATGAATATACCAAAACGGAAGAAAAGAACCCCATTGACTGTTCCTTGTTCTATATCGCGCTTAAGAAGAAGAATGTCCTACAGGGTCTGTGGCGGATGGCAAGTTGGCACCGCGAACAAGCTGCCACGCAACGGTTGCTGGCCAATGACTTTCAAGAACCTCGATGGAAGACTGCAGCTCTGAAAAATGCTTATGCACTGCTTGGGAAACGGAGATTCGGTCGGTCTTCCTGCACAAGCCCTGAGTTAAAATAAGCTTTCTCTGACATTCTTCCAGAATACGCGGCGGCTTTCTTCCTTCTTGCAGACCGGCTGCGCGATGCCGCCAATGTTTGTTTGAACCAGGTTGGGGATCTACAGCTAGCGATCGCTATTACGCGTGCGTACGAAGGAGACAACGGGCCCGTTTTGAGAGAAATCTTAGAAGAGAGGGTTTTGCCCGAAGCCGCATGTGACGGGAACCGATGGATGGCATCGTGGGCCTTTTGGATGCTAGGCCGTCGCGACATGGCCGTCCGTTCGTTGATTGTAAGTTGGTATTGTCTGTTCCTTCTTTGTCTTGTCGACTGACAACTGGACGTATAGTCGCCAGTCGATACATTGATCCCTTCAACCCCTTCATCTCCTGGAAGCCCCGGCTCAATCTCACTACAAGCAAAATCATTCTTATCCAACGATCCTGCCTTGGTCGTTTTGTACAAACAACTCCGCGAGAAGACCCTGCAAACACTGAAAGGGGCTTCTCAAGTGTCAGCCCGAGCGGAATGGGATTTCATAATTCGCAATGCCCGACTGTATGACCGCATGGGATGCGACCTTCTTGCCCTCGATCTTGTGCGCCATTGGGAGTTCCTGAGCGTACCTCCTCCACCGAAGACGATGAAAGACGTTGCGCACAAGCTACAGGAAAACGGCGTCGATTACCGAAAGATGCTTCGACGGCGAAGCAGTCTTGTGGTGGCAGACCTGCCGATCAAAGCTGGTCTTTCGCAGGAAGCCAAGTCTCCCGCTGTATCACAGAAACCACAACCACCGCCTACGACGTTCCACGAACCCGACGCCAACTCGCTGCTCGACAGCTTCGGATTCTGATCTGTTCCAGTGTTTTCCCTTATCGATGTTTTCAGCGTGGTGGCGTCTCTGGTGTATGTATATACGGCATTTGCTTGTCTCAGCTTCTATGACCGCAAATTATCTGCTGGATAACAGCAGCTCCGTGAACCATGCTCTGAAGCTGGATCTCTTGTATAGTACGTACGAACTGGCTTTTACATTGGATTTACTGGACTACTGAAGACGTAAATTCGTGACTGGGATGTTGATCATACACATAACCGTCTTCACTCACTCCCCTTCTGGCCTTCCTCCTCACATTCAGAAATCACAGGCAAAGGTAGATCAACATCAGACTCAACCATATGCAGCCCACACTTCATCCATCGGGAGACCACGTCAAGGACAGCAGCGCCCTACGACCGTATCCGCAGAGCCCTCCGCAGCAAAACCGGCCGGGCAGCAGTACTGGAGCCAGTCCCATTCAAATACGGCGCAGTCTGGTTCGCCAACCCCATAGACTTGTTAACACGATGGGGCCCGTCATGAAGCACAGGCCTATGCGCTGGTCGCACAGTCGACTGAACCCCCACTACCTCTTCGTCCTCTTCGCAGTCCAACTTGGCCCAAACCTGGTTATACGCGAGCAGGTTCCTAGGCACACAGTCGCTGACCGCGAAGCCGTGCTCAACCTCCTCTTCGAGGAGAGGCGGGTCAACGCAGCCCGGCACTTCGTGCACGGCAATGGTGCAGTTTCCTGCTGCGCTCTCGACTTCCGCGGCGAAGGACAGGTGCGTTACCTCGGGCCCGTAGGAGAGCGGCACGAAGACCGCGGCGCAGGTGCCCGGGGAGATGTTGGTGGCTGAGATGAACTCCTCGTGGGGCAGGTCGTCTGAGGATGGATGGACTCGGTCGATGGGGCAGGAGGGGAAGAATTCTGTCCAGATGCGGGCGGTGGTGGTGGTGGAGGAGGAGGCGAGCGAGGGGGTGAGGATGGGGAGGAGGGCGAGGAAGTGCTGCGAGGATGTTGTTAGGAGACTGTTGTCGTCAATGATGGAGAGTGTCTTACATTGGTGAAATGCATGGTGATGGTGGTCCAGCGGTATGAGAGAGAGAGACGAGGGATTAGCAAGTTGCGCTGGATTATTTGCTATGACCACTTGGACATCAAGGGAAGGCCATCAAGGGAAGGCCATCAAGGGAAGGCCATCAAGGGAAGGCCATCAAGCCCAATATATACCTTTCATCTCGCTCAACCCGAGTCAGATGGTGAATAAGTCCCGATGGCAGGAAACATTACAGCAAGCCACTATCAAACCTTGACACGACACGAGACGCCTGAAACGCAACCACATACTTCATTTTCACTCTCTCTGATGCATTGACACGCTAGTGCGACAGTCTCCAGATCACACATTCCGGGTCAAGCTCATGGTGGCGCGCGGCAGCGGTGTTGGTGGCTTGATGGCTCACATTCCATTCCATTCCATTGCTTGCCGTTTGGGCTTTGTTGACGGTGACGCGACCTGTCAGTAGCAGAGGGATGGGAGTATGACTGCGTTGGTTCACGTGAAGTGGTCATGATTGATCCAGTCATTGAGTGTTCCTACTGCGCAGAAGGAACCGTGTGATCTATGGGAATAGGGTCGTAGTTCTTAGAATTGTGAACTTTGGCCCCTGGACTTAGGAGTTACGGGAAGGACTTGGTCAGACTCAATGGGTTAAGGTCGATTAATGGAAGTGACGTTGATTGACGTTGTCATGGAAGAAAAGGCCCTTATTAAATATTAAAATACAAGACTGTGTGCATGTAGTAGACTCTCCCCTTTCGCATCAACCACGATTCAGCCCGCCCTGATGCAACAATCTCACGGCTTGAAGCGAGCGCATCGCTCACCGAAAACCGAGGAGGTCTGTGAGAGAGTTGAGGCCACCGAGGCTATCAGCAGGGCTTCCCGCCTTTCTCTCCGGCGCCTCCTGCTCAGCGTCTTGCTCGCCCTTCCCGGAACCGGGTTCACCCTCCTGCTTGGGGCCATGCTCGCCCTTCTGCTCGGGGCCGTGTTCCTCTCCCTCGACGCGCTCGTCCTCGCCTTGGTCAGTGCACTCGAGCTGGAACGAGATGTGCTTTACGTCGTCCTCGAGGTAGTGTTCAGGGATGCATCGGTCCTGGAGTGGTCCCTGGATAGGAATCTCCAGAGCAGGATAGCCCAAGCAATCCTCGTTGTCGTAGACCTTGACAGCCCTGCAGCAAGAAACGGTGTCCGGGGTCACGGGCTCAATGTCGAAAGCGTAATAGGACAGGGAATGGTTGATCGTGACTCTTTCGCAGGTGTAGGCAGTGGTGACCTTCTTCGGTTCCGACTTGCCCTGTTCCTCGGCCAGTCCTTTAGGGCAATCGTCTAGCGAGGTGACGGTGACAAAGGCAGCAGCGGCCTGGCGAGCAACAACGGCGGTAGGGGCCAGCGCAAGGGCAGATGCCACGGTGACAAGCTGGAGAATCAGCCATTGACCGGCTGCTGGTGCAGAGCATGAGAGAACTCACCTGAACGAAATGCATTTTGGTTGAAGTCTAAGTGAGCGGTGGTCTTTCTCTCTTGCGGGAGGCAGATGGGTCCGTCCTAAATGAGTGACTGCGGTAGGTTCTTGGATGGATGGCGAAGTTCGAGAGAGTGCAGCGCGTCAGGAAAATAGACCCTCTATTTATGTCCACTACATGAGGACAATAATCCAAGGTGTAGCAGCGCGCCGATCTTTTCTCTCCTCCTGGAGACAAACACCTTTCTTGAACTAGGGCACATGCCTGCTCCCCGGAATGCAGAATCGCAGGAACGGGCTTATGTGCCGTGGAGTTTGCAGACAAGACGTCCATTCCTGAGGGGAATTTTGGCACTCGAGGCTGAGGGATAGAATGTGGTGCCCCTGGATTGTGACAGGGAACCTAGGATGAATCCCAGGGCGGCTCAAGAACACATTGGCCAACCCAAAGTGAGTACTTTTCACAGGGGCACGTTGAATTTGGATCCGTCGATCTGTCGATCTGTCAACCCTTCGATAAGTGCCAAGGAGCTGTTCCGTATGGGGCGCTGCATCCCAGTGTCCAGCAGAGAGCAGGTGTCGACTCGGACGTTCGAAGTTCCTCTGCAAGGGGCCTCATGTTTACTCCTGCGGTTAACCGATCACCGGCTCTGCTGGTTGATGGAAGGATTAGCCCTTCCCAGGGCACGGGACACGAAATGTAGCCCAGGAATGTCTTGGAAAGTCGGTCCAGAGGCGCTGAGAGCTTTGCTGAGGGCCGGCATCGTTATCACGCACTCACTCTCTGGAATCAGGACAGCGCCAGACTCTTTTCCATGTCCTATTTTGCTCCCTATTTGCCCCCTCTGTCTGACAAGGACTAATTTTGCCCCGTAGATCAACTCGTGAATTGTTCTTCTGCTTGATACGTCCGCACGTTGACATGAGGATGCTGCAACATCGTCCTCCAAGGATGGGCGAACATGGCCGGGGACGGATGTCGCTCATACATGCCACTTGAATAACGTTTCTCAAAAGGATCATCTTTAAGAGTATCCACAACTTCCGGTTTGAGTGAGCATTCCCATTCCTCGACCCGGGGCTTCGGCGGTTTCCTCGCACGATGCACCAATCGACCTTCAGCAGATGGATTGGGCGGCTTCGGGATAACAGAGACATTGATCCAAAATCGAACCTTTTTTACCATCCTGGGCATTCTACGCTGAGAGCTTCACTGAACGAGAATGACCGCCGTGGGCGCAGTTTTCAATCCTGACGTCAGCTGAGTCTACAGGCATATGCCGCCCAGAAACGCCAATGAGCTCGAGTATCATCAGCCTCATCTATCGGTTGATTGACTGCTGCCTTATGACTTGCGTTGACCAACCCTGAAGCTTTTTGACTTCATTGCTGTCTGCCTATTCAAGAGTCGACACAGCGGGCTACTTGGCAATCAAGAGCAAACATGGACTCCGCGGACTTGGCGGTTGACTTTCTCTATGCTTCTTGATATAGCTCAAGGACTGACTACCAAGGCATATACGATTACAGTCAGTGCATCTATGCGCCATAAGCCTGTTTTATGGTAGCCCGCGCGGCGAATCGGCGAGCTTACCCTGACACGGATGCGTCGAAAACGGACAAGCACAAGGCTCCCTCATGCCTTGGTACTTGCGACGAAATGCGCGATTTAGGACTAGCAGGGTGAATGTTCCACGTCCTGACATAGGTTGACATGAAGACAAGTCGCCATCGTACGGTATCTGAAAGATGCCATGCCCCGTATTCCCTCAAGAGGCATCGTCTCGTTACCATTGGGTTCTGTGGTCAACGTGATCCCTGTCGAGTCCGCAGCGGAAGTGGACGGCTCAGGGTTCCTTGTAGAGGACGAGTATTCCGCCGAGAATCAAGGACCGTAAATGAGCCATATATCATGAAGCGCTCTCCCCGGTGGTTCTGAGTTTGATCAAGTAGCGTGAAGTCGCACTACCGAACAATTGGGCGAATTTCCTGCAACCATGACGGAGTCAGCTACATCCTACACAGATGTGTAAGCCATTTTCTCGCCCTCTTGCAAGTCATGCTGCTCATCTGGAATCAGGCTCATCATCGGCGCCGGTCCATCTGGTCTGATGGCGGCCTACTGGATGGCACGCTGTGGTGTAAATGCTCGAATCATCGACAAGCGTGGAACCAAGGTATTTACCGGGCAGGCGGATGGACTGAGGCCCAGGACGCTTGAGCTGCTTGACAGCATAGGAGTTGTGCATCGAGTCCTCCACGAAGCCTGTGAGGCATCAGAATTCTCATTCTGGGTCAGTCAGTCTCTCAGAACTGGATTCTTGTGATGGTCGACGAACATTGACTGACGCAAGACTTTTTCAGGGCCCTGACGAGGATGGCGGACTGAAGCGACAAGAACAGCATCCGATTCACGACGTGAATCTTTCGCCCTTCGGCAACTGCCTCTTGAACCAAGGGAGAATTGAGCGTTTCCTCTTGGATGCCATCAAAGACTGTTCCGATCTTGAAGTCGAGAGAGGTGTCATCGCAGAATCACTGGAGTACGATGAGACCCTCGAAAATAGTGGCGATGCGTACCCAATCACGGTCACATTGAGGACCCTCGCCGAGGAAGAGGCGAATCCGTCCTCCGCCTGTGCTGGTTCTGGAGGCGTACGAAATGGACTATTTCGAAGTAACATCACGCCTGATGATTGCGATGATCTGATCAAGAAGAGCAAAGAGAGGCCCGGAAATGTCGAGACAGTGAAAGCGAAGTACCTCATCGGCTGTGATGGGGCGCACAGCTGGACCAGAAAACAGTTGAACATACCTTTCGAAGGATCCACAACTGAACACATATGGTACTGAAGCAGTTACCCTGTTCCGCCCAACGTTTGACTGACTCATTGTTCCAGGGGTGTTGTCGATATGGTTCCCATCACAAACTTTCGTGAGGACGGTTGTGCCGTAGCTATATGCCGGTTGCTAATTGATGGTAGCTGATATCCGCCGCGTGTGCACCGTGGCCACGGAATTCGGCACTCTCTTGGTCATCCCCAGGGAAAGGCAGCTTGTCCGGCTCTACCTGCCTCTGCAGGCTGTTGACGGCTCTTCGGCATGCCTCGATCGATCCTCAATTACTCTGGACATGATTCGGCAACAGGCCAAACAGATGCTGAGGCCCTTCGACTTTGATTTCAAGATCTGCGACTGGTGGACAGTTTATCAGGTATGGTTTGACTGGCTTATTGGATTGAGACAGACGAAGTGACTCGAGGACTGTAACAGGTCGGTCGGCGGCTCGCGTCGAATTTCACGAAAGGGCGGATTCATCTGGCCGGAGACGCGATTCACACCCATTCTCCCAAGGCAGGTCTGGGCATGAATATGAGTATGCAAGACGGGTTCAATATCGGCTGGAAAGTTGCCCTCGTCGCGAAAGGGGTCGCTCGTGCTTCTATACTAGCTACGTACGAGCTCGAGCGTAAAAGAACTGCCCAGATGCTTATCGATCTTGACCGCCGTCTGCAGCCGTTGTTTGTGAAGGAGCAAGAGGGCGACGCTGCCGAAAGCACAGCCCCTAGCAATGACGGCGAAACGCTGATGGACTTGATCCAATTGTCTCTCGCATTTGCCAACGGATATATCTGTTACTACGGGCCCAGCTCCTTAGTTCACAAGGGAGGCGAGGGTATCGCTGCTAATCTGATACCCGGAGAAAGACTCCCACCAGCTAGGATCCGTAATCAGGCAGACGGCCGGGCCTGGTGGACAACACGCCTTTTCGCAAGCGACGGGCGCTTCCGGATTGTGCTCCTCGCCGGAGATTTGCGTCGTGAAGATCAGAGGCAGCGTGTCTCGACTTTCAGCACCCATCTAGCTTCAGCTGAGTCGGTTCTCCAGCGGTATCGGCCCGAAGGCGAGAAACTCGACAGTCTTATTGAAGTGATCACTATCCACAGTGCTCCTGTGCTAGAGATGGACTTTTTCAATTTCCCGGAAATTCTCAGACTGTTCGACCAGGAGAGAGGATGGGCCTATGACAAGATTTGGAGCGATGACGAATGCCTCTGGGACCGACCATCTATGGGAAAAGCGTACGAATTCTGGGGGGTCGACAGGGTACGAGGCGCTGTGGTCATCCTCAGACCCGATCAGCACATTGGTTGGGTTGGAAACATCGAGGACGTAGATGAAATGACCGGCTATTTTGAGCAAATCTTTCAGCCTCCTCAGAAGACCTTGAAGGTGGTGAGCGATGTGAAGGCATGAGATTGTTATGATCTGTTTTTCGGAATGTTGGTTAGCACTTCGTCATCTGTTTATACGAAAGAATGAGTCTCACAGTGTGTGTATTACTTTGAGTTATGGGCGAGCCCGATGTGCTTTTGTCTTTATCACATCGTTCTGGTAGTGCAGCATTCGAGAGCTAAAATGCATATAGATGAATTTCATCATGGCTTTTGGTCTGTTGGAGGATCAGACGAATGTTGGAGGGAAAATCTAAGACTGATATGAATAGAATCACGCAATGAAAGCATATACAAAAGAGAAACGGAATCGTGACGGTGTTAAAAGAATGACATATTAGACTCTCTGATTAGCCATTTAGATACAGGGCGAACGTGCAAGAATTGATAATTCCCCTTATATCAACGAAGATCCGCAATATTGACGAGAGGTCCTTTTGCCTAATCCGGCATCGATGAAGCTACCCGATACAGCATTTTGGGATGTCTCGGAAGGCTGCTGGTGGTGAGCCGTTATCGAATCTCCCAACATGGTCGACGTTGGGTCCGCCTATCTTGATTCTGGACCTTATCAGACCCACAGGCCGGATTTGTCGCTCGTAGGGCGTGGGTAGTAGTATATATATTTAGTGCACTGTGCGGGAAGGTGACATGCCACTGTCATTGTCAGATTTCTCATACTTAAGGTTCAAACCAGCCTACGAGACTCCTCAGGAAGATATCTAATACGGCATAATTGAAGATGAGCGCAAATTCGCCCTCGACGCACCACCACATCGTTTTCCTTCAGGCGGATTACTGTCCAATTCCGGAGTTTCGCTTCCCGCCTGGTCACACTTTTACTACGACAGTCTATCAGCAGACTTCGCTCTCAGAACTCCATTCACGTATTCATGATGCCTCAGTCGTCGTATTCTCATACATCCCCTTTGATTCGCACACGCTCTCCCCTGAAGTGACACCGCATCTCAAACTCATCGCCGTCGCAGCAGTGGGCACGGACTGTATTGATCTCGAAGCATGCAGAAAGAGAGGGATCATTGTGAGCCGATCCATTGGGGCAAACGTGGATTCAGTCTCTGAGCATGCAATCGGATTGTACTTTGCTTCGCGGCGGCGATTACTGGATATGCACCTGTTGACGAGAGCGGGCGAATGGGCGCACCGGAAAGGAGCCCTCATGTTTCAAGTTCTCGATAAAGATGGCCAGCCTCCTTTGAGTTGCCAAGATGAAGTAGCTGGTATTATCGGAAACGGGATTGTGGGTAAGTTGGCCGAGTCCGATTTGGTTCCGGTCAATTGCTGGTCTTGAGGCTGACAGGGGAAAAAAAACGCAGGACAAAGGATCGCTCAGCTCGCACGCAACCTGGGGATGAAAGTGCTCATATCTGCACGTAAAGATCCTGCAGCATCGGCGTCCCTGAGCACGGTCGATAGCATAGAGCGAACTCCATTCGATGCTGTCATCAGACAAAGCACGGTCATTTTCGTGGCAGTGCCGCTGAGCAACTCAACACGAAACCTCATATCGATCCCAGAACTGGAAAACATGTCACCGCATACTGTCATCGTCAATGTCTCCCGCGGAGGAATCGTGGACGAAGAGGCACTACTCGAAGCTTTGAGAGAGGGTACGATTGCTGGAGCGGCCACGGATGTCTTCCGGGAAGAGCCTGCTGGATTGCATAACTCTCCATTACTTTCCGAGGAGACGAAGAATCTTAATCTGATTGTCACACCTCATTTAGCGTGGCTGTCAAAGAAAACCTTGGCCAACTATTCGCAGATGGTGAAGCAGGCCATTGAAGGATGGAGTGCAGGACAGCCATGCAATGTCGTGACATAATGACCCGACTAATATCCTGTATACTCCAGAGTCAATTAGCCACATTAGCGAATAAAATCTATTAATGAGCGATGCATCTGTTGTCGTTGGAACACAGAATGAGGAGGATGTTTTACGTGCTAGACGCTGACATCACCGTCGCTTATCAAATGCTTAACTAGTTATCTTCGCGCTGCTGAGTCACGCGTCGCCTCAATTCCGACATTCTGTGCTCCCAATGACAAATCAGCCCCCTTCGACTGCCATCTTGCGGATGAATTTTCTTGAAAGTCTATCGAATGAATCGACAATCGCAGGCTTTGAGAGATGTATCTTGAGTTGCGGCCTTGATGAATTATCAATCCATCACCATGGCAGCTAATGCCCCCGACAATGGCCGCCGCTCCGACACCCTAGAGCATGATGGCTCAGCTACATCCAGGGAATCCCACGAAGACCGGAGCGCTGGATACCGTGAGGATGTATTCGAAGCGGAACTGGCAATTGAGAGATCATCTCGGACTTCTCCTCAGAGTTTCACTCCTCGTTCCCTCTTCGTTGGACTCGTCATTGGCGCCTTGATCACTTTCTCGAATACCTACTTCGGCTTGCAGACTGGCTGGATCAGCACAATGGCCATGCCTTCAGCACTTATCGGCTTCTCTGTTTTCAAAGTTTTCTCCAAGTATTTGTCCTATCCGTTCACGCCGATAGAAAACGTCCTTATTCAAACGGTGGCGGGGGCGGTGGGCACTATGCCATTAGGGTGCGGGTTTGTCGGTGTCATCCCCGCGTTGGAATTCCTTATCCGAGACGGGAAAGATGGGCCTTCTGGCGACGGCGGTACCGGGGAAGGCGGTCCTTTGAAACTCAACATCTGGAAACTGGTCCTTTGGAGTTTGGGAGTTTGCCTCTTCGGAGTTGTCTTTGCTGTCCCGCTGAGAAAGGAGGTAATCGTCCGAGAGAAACTGAGGTTTCCGAGTGGAACGGCATCGGCGCTCATGCTCAAAGTTCTACACGGCAGTGGGTTTAGTGATGAGAAGGCGAAGAAAAATGCCAATTCGACTGCGGTCCCACGAGGAGGAGAAGGTGAAACGCATGCCTTGACGCACGAAACGGGAGAGGGAGAAGGAAATGCGCTACTGCAAAAGGATGCTAGCGAATGTCAGTCAGCTGACAGACGAGATTGGAGGTCGAAGATGCGTCTCCTGGTGGGTGCTTTTGTGGTGTCTGGTGTCTATGTGAGGTCTCCTCCTACTAACCGTACTAAACCGAGCCGAGTGACACTAACTGTGACAGACGCTATTCTCCTACTTTGTCCCTCAAGTCCGTGACGTGCCCATTCTCGGTCTTTCCCTAGCACAAAATTGGCTATGGACCCTCAACCCGTCCCCCGCATACATTGGCCAAGGAATTATCATGGGCCCATCTACCTGCATGCACATGCTTTTCGGGGCCATACTCGGCTGGGGCATACTATCTCCGCTCGCCAAGGCTCGTGGCTGGGCCCCTGGGCCTGTGGACAGCTGGGAAGACGGAAGTAAGGCATGGATTGTATGGGTTTCTCTAGCCATCATGCTCGCCGACTCGCTTGTCAGTCTTGGTTGGCTGGTTTTGAAGCCTGCCATAGCCAACGCTCCAAAGCTCAAGGCCGGATTCTTTTCCAGTCGCGTCGGAAAATGGATTCTAGCCAATGGGTCGAGCAACAGCTCTCGCCATTCATACGTCAGATATTCCGCCCTGAGTCCCATCTCGGAGGAGTCATCGACAGGAGCCTATTCCGCCCACCTTGCGGTAAGGCACGGTGAGCCCGAGGAAGAAGACGATGCGCCGCCTTCCCAGCTTATCTCTACTCGGACTGTGGTGGTCCTGCTTCCCTTGACACTGATACTGAACGTGGCCTGCATGCACATTGTCTTCGGAGACGTCATGTCGCCCTTGCTTTCCAGCCTTGCCACTCTCCTCGCCGTGCTGCTGTCAATAATGGGCGTCCGGGCACTGGGCGAGACAGACCTGAACCCCGTCTCCGGAATCAGTAAACTAACCCAGCTCCTCTTCTCTCTCGCAACACCCGCATCACACTTCTCCCGACGCACCGCCCTCGTCACCAACCTCCTCGCCGGCGCCGTCTCCGAGTCCGGAGCCCTGCAGGCAGGCGACATGATGCAAGACCTCAAAACCGGCCACCTGCTCGGCGCAAGCCCCAAAGCCCAGTTCTACGGCCAAATAATCGGCAGCCTCGTCGGCGCCGTCCTCTCCACCGCCGTGTACAAGATGTACGTGAGCGTCTACGAGGTCCCAGGCCCGATGTTCCAGACCCCAACCGCCTACGTCTGGATCTTCACCGCCCGCCTCGTCACCGGCCAGGGCCTGCCGCCCATGGCCTGGCAGGCCTCCCTAGTCGCCGGCGCCATCTTCGTCGGCGTGACGGTCCTGCGCATCTACGCGGCCTCGCCCCTGGCGAACGGCGGCCGGCGCGACGTCTCGGCTCCCTGGAGGACATGGGTCCCGGGCGGCATCGCCGTCGCCGTGGGCATCTTCAACGTCCCGTCGTTCACGCTCGCCAGAGCCATCGGCGGTATCGTTGCCTGGTGGTGGTCGCGGAAGCACACGGGTCCCAGCTCCTCCGAGCCTCCCACGCATACCCCCGGCGACAGTGCGGCAAATCAGACACCCGGAGCATCGCAGACGCTGGAAAACAGAGTCCCCGCGGCCGCGAAAACAGCCGAACAGGTCGCCAGGGAAGCGGACGCCGCTTCTTCGTCGGTGGTGGTTCTGGCTTCGGGGTTGATTCTCGGAGAGGGAATCATCAGTATTGTCAACCTTCTTCTGGCTAGTGGGAATGTTCCACATCTCTAGATATATAAATATATATTTGGCATTAAAGGATATTATAAAACTTGTACCCATTAGTCAGAGAAAGAACATGAACAGTTATCCTCCTCATGATTCAGCGAACAATAATCTGATTTTTGCTGTATTCACCACTATCTACATAGACGATCACTAAACCATACATGAACCAGAACAATGACAGATGACAGAATTACTGTTAGGAGGCCAGATCCGGTGCCCATTGCTTCCCTTGATTCTCCGATGTAAATGCGAAAGGAAGACCAGAGCAACTGGAACTGTGCTAATACACAATAAACACACTGTATAAGGGTAGAGATAGAGCACGATGGATGAACCTCACAATCAACATCCTTTCTTAAAAGAGGGGGAAAAACAAAAAGGCAAACTGAAAGAAATGGGTATTCCCGTTGAACAAGACATGGGCACAGCTTTCCCAAGCAAGAAAAAGACGGTATCTTGCTTGGAGAGGAGACAGTTGCCGGCATCGTAGAAGAAAACGTATAAGAGGGGGGATGGAAAGATACTAAGTATGAAAAAGGTTCTCAGACAGATAGAAAAGAAATCGAAAACATGTTGACAAGGGGGGGTTCATTCGTCCCAGACGCAAGTAGGCTCGTTCCGTCCAGCGGCAATAACAATCAATTGCCCCCCTCATATCAATCAATTGCATTTGCAGTTCGCTTTCGTTCACATTTGGACATTCATCAGCCTATTGACTTCATGCATGGTCTTCTCGAACTAGTGCTTGCGGCGGCGGCGGAGTGGGAATCGCCGGGAGTGCACCGGACGGAGGTGGCATCATTGGCCCGGCCAAGGGGCTTGGTCCTGGTGATCCTGCCGTACGAGGAATAGGTCCAACCGCCCCACCTGCACTGTTGCTACGTTTCCGCTGGCTCGCTGGCATCTCCGGCCTCTGCAACCCTGGAAGTCCGTAAGGTCCGGGACTCATGGATCTTGGCGGCATCGGCCGGCTACCGGGACCGGGAGAGAACGATCGCGGGGCGGGAGGAAACTGTGCAGGAGACATTGGACGCTGGGGATACGGGCGTGGGGACGGAGCTCCGCCATGAGGGTGTTGAGCTGGGGACATTGGGCGCGGGGCCGAGGGTGACCGTGGGCGGGGATCTTGAGGATAGAAGCGAGGAGGTGGTGGTCCCATGGGCCCAGGAGGTCCAGGAGGGGGAGGCCCGCGAGGGCCGTTGGGTCCCATCATTGGCGGTGGTGGCGGCCCGCGGGGCCCGGGGCCCGGACCAGCTCCTGGGGGCGGACGGGTTCGAGGCTTCACGGGGCGGGCAGAAAGACAAGACCGGGGAACCACTCCTTGCTGCGAGCGATCGAGTCTGACGCAGAGAGCCCAACCGTCGTCGTACTCGTGCAAAAGTCGAACAAGCTGACCGGCGTGGAGCTCCAACTCATCCTCCATTGAAGGCTTGAAATCCATTTGCACGCGATGAACATTGGTTGGCCCGGGAGCAGGGCTAGCAGCACCGCCGGGTCCGAAAGCTGGGACAGCAGTAACCGCAGTAGCAGAGGCGATCGATGCGGAATCAGCGCCAACGGCGCTTACGGGACTTTGAGCCGAGCCTTCGGGAACCGACGATGCTTGGGACGACGAGCTTTCTGGGCGGCTGGGCAGGTCCTTGTCGGAGGGTTTGGCGGCGGCAGCGGCAGCAACAGCACCAGCGACTGCGGCTCCGGTAGCAGCAGCTCCAAGAGCGTTGTAATCGCTCGGTGCCGGTGCAGTCGGTGCCAGGGGAGATTGAGGAAGAGGGACCGCCGAGGGACTTGGTGGACCTGTGGCTGCAACGGGGGAAGAAGCTTCTGCCTGGTTGCCAAAGGGATTCACTGGGTCGCGGAACGGATCCGTCCTACTGACGCTTGACTGTGGCGTATGGGGCGGCGAGGGATTGCCGGTCAGGTTACGCGATCCAGCTGCAGCGACACCAAGTGTAGCACCAGCACCACCGACAGCGAGAGCGGCCATAGCGTTGCTGCTAGGGGTCAGATCCGGTGCAAACTGAGTGATAGGGCGAACGTTGAGTTGGGGAGGGTCAGACGGGGTCATCGGTTGGGGTTTTGGCGGAGGTCCAGGCGGAACCATGTTATCGGCTCCATAGGATTTCTCGTTTGCAGCTTCGGCCTCTGCCATTTGTCGACCTTGCTTCCTCTTGCGCATGCAGAAGAAGATGAAACCCGCGATCAAACCAAGTCCAAGAATCACACCAATTGCAATACCCGCTTTTGCACCACCGGTAAGTCCCGAGCTCGAACCCGCAGAAACTGAAGTGGCCGATGCTGAAGCCGATTGTTCCAGAGACGACGATGCAGAGGTACTATCCAAGCCTGGGATAGTCAACGACGAAGTCGAGCCGGAGGTGGCCGTGGAGAAGGTGGTCGGAGTCGTCGTGTCCGTGGTCTGGTCCGTGGTGATCGCCTGGGTCGCCTTGGTGGTATGTTCGGTGGTCGTGGGGTCTGCTTCGGTGGTTGTAGGCTTAGTTCCTTTGGTAGTTGTCTTTGCCTCTTGGGTCGTTTTCGGCTTCGCTTCGGCCGTCGTCGTTGCGTCCTCAGTGGACGAAGTTCGCGTCTTTCCAACAGGAGCGCCGACACCCTGATTCTGCTGTGTCGCCGTTGACGCCGGATCTGTGCCCGTTACGTAGCCGCCGATAGGACCGTCAAAGGTGGCAGATGCCGTCACATAGACGATGGTCACGGCTTCATTCTTGGGATCTCGTTCCTCGAGGCTTCGCTCCTCAAGGGCAGCGTGGAGATCGCGATGCGCATGTGCGTGCACCATGATTGCGATGGAGATTGTCAGTCTTGCTTCACTGCTGGATGAGTCAATTGGTTCAGACGGTAATGGCGGCAAGAAGTTTCGACTCCGACTTCGGATGATCGATCAGAGCGATTCTGATCGTTCCAGGTCAGAGAAGGTGGTGCGATTGCAGACACCTGATGAAGTGATAACGAGAGGATGGGAGTCTAGCCCATAAAAAACAAAAAGACCCGACACGATGTGCCTAGATCAAAGATGGACCTTTAATTCGAACGGGCCTGACAAGGTAGGCCGCGTTTCGAAGCAAAGGGAGCGCAAGCGCGTCAAGGAATGTGGGAGGTAAAAGAATGAATATGGGCTATGGAGGGGCTGGCGGACAGCCACTCGATAAACGAAAGAACCACGAGCTTCCAGGCCGCGAGAGTGTCGAATAAAGGAAGGGAGACCAAGACGTGGAATGCCCACGAATTGGAAGATGAAAAGGAAGGTGGGTGCAAAGGGAAAAGAAGGACGAGTAGAAAAGAATTTGGTGGTGATGGGGATGGGGATGGCCCGGAGCGGGAGAGACGCCCTGAGTCTGAGAGAGAGAGGAAGAGGCTAAAGGGCCGATTCTCAGTAGTGTGTAGATACCTCTTAGCCATGGGTAGCCCGGTACTCCGTAGATACTCTGTAGATACTTCCGTAGCCACAGCAAACGCTGCCACAGTCAATCATTTACCACAAACAGGCGGAAGTAAACGAAATGAGATCTGAGCCAAAAAGAGGGGACTGGCCAATCACAAGCCACTCAGACACGGGCTGGGTCTGACTACACTAACCCATCTGGGGGGATGATCCCTGTTCAGACCCGCTGTTCGCAGGGACCTGGCATTTCTGATTGGCTGACAACTGTGACGGTGCCTGGTTTCATGACGGTAATCGCTAACACGAGGCGCGTGCCGCCATAACCCAATTCATTGGACTGTCTGATAGAAAATCAGGGAAAATGGTAGATAAATATTAGATGGATATTTTCTGTTGAGGAGGAGAATAACAATCTCTGCCTATTATTGACATGACCATCAAGCATGGTTCTGTTACTCCTGTATGTCTGAGAAAAGAGTCAGGTATCTGTTCTCTGATTCTTCTACTGGGACCAGCATCCATGGGAGGATCAACGCCATCCATCGATGTCATAAGGTTTCCCACCCCCTATTCTCATTTCTTAGTAGTAGTACTATCGGAGATTCTCGCAGTCTGCATTTGAGCAAGCAACAAGTATTATCCCCATCACACTCGGTTGCCTGCATCGCTCTGTGCTCTGTACCTATCTAGTAGTCATCACTGTACTCCATAGTATCCGTATCGTGCTGTCAATTTGAAGCTTTGATTAGCCAAGCCCCTCTTCTTCTCTCCACCATCTCCGGTCGTTCCTAGCGCCATTTCCTTTGATGAATTCAATCATCTCATTATTTGGGGGCTGATTCCCATCCTTCTCCAAGTCCAAGATGCATTGTTATTCATACCTCTCCCTCAGTCTACTCTGCATAAATCTGTGCTTGGCTCAAGTGTCCTAGGGATACAAACATGTTCGATCAATGTACGGAGGAGAATGATTTTGACTGCCAGGTGTGATTGTTACACTGCTGCAGGGCACCGATCCCGTCGGAAATTGTCTTCGCTTACATGATCATTAATTAGCCCATTTGTTCATACTATGACGAGTTGTCGGTGCCTCGGTTGCGGTCAGACTGTGAAACCCTGAGTAAGTGTAAACTCGAGGAACCATTCACCATGATGGCTCAATGCCTCAATGGTGTGGCGAGTTGGCAATCACTATGGCAGTGGTGCCGCTTCGAGCCGACTCAAATTTAAAGGCTGAAACACCCGCTGCAGACTGGTGGACCGCTAGAAGCTTGGCCGGGATGATCACAAAAATCATCGCGAGGTGATTCTGGATCATGTGAGACCGTCGCAATTAAATCCCAGGAGCGGATCGGCTTCAGGTTGCTGAAAAATATGGATGATCCAGGGCCTGCCACACTATTAGCATCAGGCCTGTCCACTTAGAAATGTGTAGCCCTACCTCTGCAGCAGACAGACGTTCACTGCTCTCGTAGCGTACCAGTTTACTGACGAGATCCCGTCCCTTGGAAGAAGCTCCCTTGAGAACCTCATCCCACGGTTTGGCAGGAAATCGGTAAAACTCGATCTTGCCCCAGTCGGGAAGCTTCTCCGTCTCCTGTTTTCTATGTTAACCTAACTCGAAGACCAGAGAGGCAGGGTTCCTGAATGCAATCGGATGACTTACAGGCCAGGTGCTCTCATCTGGGGTTCCCAGAGTCTTGAAAATGGACTGAACAAGAGACAGATCGCTCCCCACGGGCCCGGAATCGAACAGCTGCTTGTGCCCTACAGCGACAGCTTCTGCGACAACACAACCAGCGGCCCACAGATCCAACGCTGTTCCGTATTCCTTGAAACCAAACAGGATCTCAGGCGCTCGATAAGATGTGGTTCCTACATCGGTAATCTTCTTATCAGCCGGCTCGGAACCCCTGTCTCCTTCTTTCCATGCGATACCAAAGTCCGCCAGGTAAGCCGGGCCGTCAGGAGAGTCCAACAAAATGTTAGAGGGTTTGACGTCCCGATGAATGATTCCCAGCTCATGAAGGTGTGCCAACGCGCTGAACATGTCGTGTAGATGAGCCTTTATTTGCGTTGCAGTGATCATATCACGGCGAAGCAAATGCTCCAAGTCATATTTTAAATAGGGGAAGACCAAGATGAGTCTTCCTCCGTCAACCTTGAGCGAGTCCAGCAGACTTATGACATGAGCGCTCGCAGCCTCCCTCAAAAATCGAACCTCGCGCTCAGCGTCATGTGGTGGTGTCAAGAGATGGGGTATGGTAACTTTCACCGCAACCACAGCTCCATCCTCACGCTTGGACTTGTAAATAGTGGAATGAAGCCCATCAAACACATGGAGGCATCCTTTGAACGGACCAATTGCTTCTCCTGCTGTCCAGACACCCTCATGGGGCTCATGTTGCACTTGCAACTGGTTTGGACTGCCGATCATTGGGGCTACAGAACCACTGGCCTCTGCGGCATCGATTGCAACCTGGCACATCCGGTCATATTCTTCCTGCAAGATCCTTCATGAGCAGACGTTTTGATGAACATGGTCGAGAACCAACCTTTGAGGTAGCTTGTTCATAAGCCTCACTTTCGAATCTCTTTGCTTGGGACTGAGCTTCAGCAAATGCAGCCGAAGACGAAGCTCGCTGATAGGCGGTAGTCCTAGACTGTAGTATTAGAATGTTGTCAAGACCGACGTTCTAGGAGGTTGGTCTCGATGATCATAGGCTTACAGAGACTGAATCGCCGTCAATCGTTCGGTGAACCCCAGAGCTTTCTTCCAGTCTGATGCAGCCATCTTGTTGGATATTTCGAATTAGACGCGTGGGGCAGAGATGACGGAATAAACCTGGAGAAGAATCGAGCTAGTCAAAGGAAGTCGATAACCAGCTCATCAACTACCTGTACTTGCAGTAACCAGCCTTGTGATAAAGCAGCAATGTTTCCCTTCCAATCTTGTTCGTGTAGCAGCAGTAGGAAGTCGATGGAACATGTGACTATTGCCTGTCTCCTGCCTTACGATGCCTGAGGTATACTCGCTAAGCTAGCCGAATCCAGCTAGCATCGAGTTCCCCGTCCTCATTGACCAATCGCCTCACTCTGCTGTGATCCTCCAGTCCGCTCGGCTCCTGCGTGGTTCTTCCGGTGTTGCAACCCCATCGTCATCAACATCCATCCATCCCATCAACCATTCCTCTTCTTTTATCTGCTCCTCACTCCACTCCGAGTTCATTGACTGAAGAAATCGGTCCCTTCTGGTATTATTTGGAGGTCTTCAATTGCTCGTTCGCTGATAATTCGGCTTCTGTATCCTTAATTGGTCCCTATTACTAATGCACCTTACGATCGCTCCCTTCTGGTACCGCTGATCTATGAATCGTAGCGATGGAGCTCTCACGGCAGGAGTATCCAGCCCTGCTGGTAGGCATAACCCGACCTCGGGCATCTCCCGCTTTTGCTATGGCAGTAAAATGGCAGCAGCTAATATCTCCCATCTATTTCCTGTCTTTAGGCCTCTTTGCAGCCCAACCAAGCGATTAATGTTCTCAATGATCGCATACGTCTCATTAACAAGATCAACGCGGATATCGCGGATTGGCTCCAGGTATGGCTTCAGCCTCTTTACACAAATGACAACAGAAGCTTTGGATCTAACTCTTGTCTTCCATGCGACAGGAACGCCGCCGTGTTGAAGAAGCTTACGCGCAAGGGTTAAGGAAACTGGCGCATCGGCCACAACTTGATAATGGGGCGGCGCTTGGGTAAGCTCGGTCATTCGGAACTGAAACACAAAAGGCAATGCTGATTCCGATATGTTTTACGACACAATAGCATTTTCCAGCTACCATGGCAGCGCATCATCAATGCCACCGAAGCCGTAGCCGCATCCCACGAAACCTTCGCGCAGAAGATTGACGAGGACGTGGAGCGCCCATTGAGAGAGTACAGTAGCAAGAACCGAGAATTGTCATCGATGCCTGGTGTCCAAAGCGATCTTGCCGCATTGGCGAAGAGCTTCGAAGCGAACCAAAAGAAAGTGGAAAAGGCCAGGGAGAAAGGTCCGAAGGGGGCGGAAAAACTGGCCGTCGCCATTTCAGCCGCGGAGGAGATCAGAGAACAATGGGATTCAAGGGCACCGTTTGTGTTTGAGCAACTTCAGGCAGCGGACGAAGGCCGAGTAAATCATCTCCGCGACGCGCTGACTCAATTGCAAACGCACGAATCGGACCAGGTAGAACGGTGTCGCCAGGCTGCCGAGAGCTGCCTGAATGTACTTCTCAATGTTGAGACTGCGGATGAGATCAAGACATTTGCCGCGAAGGTTAATGGAGGCAGGCCTGTCGCTCCCAGAAGGCAAGAATCTATCCCGTCTGGCGGAGCGGGAGCGCCTCTCGCTCCTC